ATGAAATTTGAGGGGTATAAATATAATTTTTACTTAAACCAAAAATATCATTTTGTTGGTAAGCCTTGTGAGTTACTTTTCCGCTACTTAATTTTTATTGACAGTTTATATGTGGCTCTATAAATCAAAAAATATAAAAATGGTCCAAATATGGCTACTCTCCCCTAATATTATTTGTCAAAGACAAGAAAATACTTGTAAGTACTTCTTACATTATCTTATACTTTTTATTCGCGTGTTTAGTGAGTGAGTCGTAACTTTGGCATTTACAAGCGCAGAGTCCCATTATAATTTTCATCCCTCGTTCCTCATTCCTCATCGCGGTGCGCTGATACACCTTCTGCTTCGCCGCATCATCGCCGGCCGGAGCAATTTCCGTGCAAGAGACACTTGAGATGCTTTAGTCAAAGCGAAGCGAGCGATCGCAAAGGGGTAGAGGGTTGGTGGAGGCGCGCGCGCGCGCGGCTGTGCCATATCGCGAACCTTAATTGCATTTTCCGACTCTCTGTGCGGCACTAAAAGGTTTCGTTTACTAACCATCTATTATGTTACGCGTCCTCTACATTTTAATTATGAGTGCTTCCTCGTAAGTCGATGGCGGCGCGTGTGTTATAAATAAAATTATCAGTCATACTTCCAAGAACAAAAACAGAATATTAAAATATTATTTCCTTATTAAGTTCATAATATTGAACCAATATTAATATAGTAATGTAGTGCAATATTTTTAAATTTATTAATCCATAAAAACGCCCTAAATCGGATGTCAATAGCAATAAATCCAAAAATTTAATTAAGCTAATGAATGAATTGTGTTTAAAACAAAAATATAACATTAGCAGAAGCTAAACTCGCTCGCGTGGCAATAAAACGCTGAAAATTAGTATGAATGTTTAACCGAAGAGAATTTACACTCGGAGAACATTCACCACACCGTTGGGTAAACATTAAAAATGGTTGTACACTCGCAGGAATTTTAAAGTTGGAAAATAAGCAGAGTGTTTGCACACACACGGGTGTGTGCCGGCGTGCGTGTGAGGAGGCCCCTAAAGTTTAATTTACGATCCGGCGTGGAAAAAGCACCGGGCCGAACATTTGTTACCATGTCTCGATATATACGCGTCGATGGTGGCGGCGCCAGGCTGTAGTTTGCCGCTTTACTTTTTCCAATAAAATTTATTGTTAGCGCGGCGTTATTGTAAATCCCGGAATACGTTTTATTAATATCCTTCTAAAGGATACTTTTATTTGCTTTTTAGCTCAACTTCCAACTTTTATACGTTCGGATAAAAGTGCCCGGAGCGCTCGCGAGCTTTTTACGCGCCGCTCGCGCGCGTATCTTTTATTGTATAGCGAAAATCCTTGTTAACGAAATCAAATTGTTTTTCTTTCGCACGGTCATTTCAACGCACATATAAATCGATCGATGGATACACCTACATAAAATGGTAAAATCCTTTTTATTTGTTGTATTACGGTAATGTTTGAATGGTGGAAAACTCAAGATAATAAATACGTGTCAAGTGTGTACATATCTCGGACGCGGTACGAGTAATACTTACAATTTGAGCATATTTCGCCCAAAATCTGGGTTAGGGATATCATTTTTCTTGCGCATCTTTCTCGCCGGCAATATTTCAGCCGAAAGCAAACAACACGCGGGTCGCATTTCGGGCATGAAAAATGTCGACGGTGTCGTTCATTGTACATGTAAGGATTCTCGCCGCGGCCGGCAATCGAAGAATACGCAAAAACGGAACACGCTCGGCCAAAATGTCAGCCGCTTATCCGAGTAATACAATATTCTTTTTGCACGTTTAGCCGCCGCCTACGCCGCCGCCGCGCGCAGACTGCGAAAAGAACGCGTCCACAAAGAAAACGCTTAATTTATGAGCCGAAATAAGATTTCATTAATTTTTTATAACGACGCGCTGGGCGGAAACCACCTTTTGGAAATAAAAACGTTTTTTATATTAAAAGTGTGCGGCAAATTAAAAAAGTTCATTCGACAGTTGTTTGTGACAAATGAAAATTAATGTCGGCGTTTTTAAACGCCCGCAACCAACGATAATCTGCCTAATCCTTTTCACACGCTTTACACCTCACAACGGATAAACTTTTATATCATCACGGAAATAATTATGACACAAATAGAAAAATTTCTGTTTTTGTCGATAAATTTATCCGGGGATAAAATAATTTATTCTTCCGAAGGCATAAAATGTAGGTAACACTTCGTATGCCATCCGGCATGCGGGGAAAATATTAAGAAAGCGTCGAAAGCCCCGAGTTGTGCTGCGAAACGATCCATCTAGCGGCGTTTCGTCTATTGGATTTCAGTAAACGCGCCCGAAAATTTCCTGCAGTTAATTAAGTGCCTTCCATATAATGCGTCATCGTTAAATAGTAAAGCGTCTCCTGTGTGTGCTCGCCGCCCCCTCGCGCCCGGTCGTGCCGGCACATTATGCGAACCACTCAGGCTTCTTCGGCTTTCGGTCTTTAGTGAACGCCGTCAGAAAGGAACACGACTCGCGAACAGCCGACTATAAAGAAAACCGCCCCATCGCTTATATGCAACGGGGCACATGACGCACATACTGATTATTTCGTAACTACAATAATCACAACAACTAAAAATTATAGCATCACCTTCATAAAATTATATTTAAATATGTTTAAGACATATTTTGTTATAAATTATGTTTATTTTAATTTTGGGGAGATTTTTGTAACACACAGTATTTTTTCATGACGTATGCTGTTGAGGGAAATGTTGTTACTTTGTCCCTGCTGATCGCAAAGCGAATCAATCTCACAAAGCGCAGCGCCGAAACATTTTCTCATTTAAATTAGCGCAATGCGTTGCGGTGGTGGATGTGGATATTTTACTACCTACAAAACGCAAATTTACACCACCGAAAATCACGTGCGCGCCGTAAATTGAGGAAACAATTTTCGCCATTAATTTTTAATCACTTTGCAGTGTTTATATTCGGCAAAATCATTTTCCACCATGAATAACACGTACACAAAAACTAGGTCCTCGAGATGAATAGCCTTCATTATGAAAGTCCAAACTTTCAACCCTAAACACCATGTTTATGTTATTCCAAAACACGTGCACAAAAGATTTCAGACGCAACAAAACCAATTAGAGTGAGTTTACACACCGCAAAACCAAACAACAATATTTTCCCGCACACAACAAAATAATGTAACGTTTCAAAAAAGAACGAGGAATTGTAAACCCTTGAACAACATTTTTTTAACCTTGCCCTTGCAGTATAACCTTGCACACTATTTATGTTTGCATATCTATTTACTCAGCGCGAATAGCAGAGAATATATTCCTCGCTGGGTTCTATCCAAACACTATAATTGTGTTTATCTGCGTGTGTGCATCCGACGTGGGCGCAACTCCAATCACTCACAGCAGCGCACAATTTAACAAACTTCAAAAACGACCAGCAGACCAAATAACTTCCGGCGAAGTTATCAAAAAAAAAAATCCAAACTCACGTCGCTCTCTTTCAGGCGCCAGCACCGCCAGCGAAATCCGCATATCCGCGTGCGGACGGCCAGAAAATAAACCGATTTTTCCGGTAAATGTTTTCCTCCTCGATTCACACACACACACACAGTCACACAGCAAGCGCGAAAAGTATAGATGTAGTCATGCGTAGGTATTATTTTCGAAATAGCTGCTCGCGTGTTGATCAAAGCGGATTATTTAAAGGGAATAAATCCGTTACGCGGATTAAAAAGTTTGCCATAAGCGGCGCGTGTGTGGCCTCGCTTTAAATAGATATGTCATTAGCATGAGAGCGTTTTATTTTTTTTTGAGCCTCTGTTCATCTGAAGGCTTTGGCGTTCGTTAGCGATGCCACTTTTTTGTTTGACTTTTTTAATCTGTGTACGCGCGTCCGCTAATGAAGTAAAAACGAGGGTAATTAATGTCATGCGTGATATTTCCAATCCTCGAGTTCAAGAGTTAACTCACTCGAAAGTTTTTTACAAAACTAATAATAAATGATTATCAAACTCACGTGTATACTAAAGTTGCATAAATGTTAAGTCGTCATTATGAGAAATAATGAAAAGCGAGGAAATATATGAGCATTATTTAAATCGCACACATTTCCCTAATCTCGTCATCGCCGTCGCTCCGCAACGAGTCAACCCGGAAGCGTATCAGACAACAATCCGCGCACGAATCTCGCAATTATAATTAGATGGATATTCTTATTAAACTTGCCGCCAAGTTATCGCATTATGTTCCGTTCTAAATTCCAAATGGAAATCACGATGCGCCCGCTTTTCATTTCAAAACAATGCGAATGAAAAAACATATAAATATGGATAAATAATAAAACGTTTTTGATGAAAATACGTTTGGAGTTTTTAAGTAAAAGTTAAAAAACAACTTTTTTAAGTGCAGCTTAAAAGTTACCCCTTTCCACGTCTGGACGATAGAGTTTTGAGCGGCTTTCGGCCGAGACGAACGAGGTACAAACGCGAAACAACCTAACAACTCGTTTCGATATGATTCCCATGAGAACGTTTCTTTCGAGAACGTCGCGTTCATCGTTTTTAAATGCGGGCATTGTTCTGGCGCAAACGTTTATTGATATTTATGATGCCGTCTCGAGAGATGCCCACATTCGTAAACATTATGCAGTTATTTACGCTAATGCACACCACATTGAACTAAAACTATATTTAACTCGGTGATTACATTTGTGCAACAATAAATTCAGTTCCATAATAAATAATATTTGGAACTTTTAAGGTCATAATAAATTTAAATTCATTTTAACGCGTATGTATCGATATTTTGCGCTAACAATGCATTTTTATTTTGGGCGGATATGTGCTTTTTCTTTCAACACATTCCGCATCGAATTAATGCGCCGTAAAGCGCGAAATTATAACTTTAATGGCCATTGTCGTCGACAACAGATGCGCACAGAGCCGTGAAAGCGTCTATTGTGAATACGTACCTTTTGCAGGATGAAATCCGGATTTATGCCCAATTCTGCAAAAAGAAAGCATCGAATATTCAATGAGGAGAAAATCATCCGAGCGCTGATAACGTAAACATTCGCATGCGTACGAACGGAAATAAATGCGTAGTCGCCGCCTCCAACGCCTCCAGAAATATACCAAAAACGGATTATCGTTAGCGCGTATTGCATTTCAACTTTTTCACACATAAAATTCGACTTTGGATAAAATATATTTTGCACTACAAAAATATATTTCGCATTTAATTCAATTTAATTTAACAACGCCTGCTTAAGTAAAGCCCAAAAGGATATTTTCTATATGTGTATGAATGTATATCAGGGGTTGGTGCGTGGTGGCACGCGAGGTTTGCGGAAAAACGCGCTCGCGTATTATTTATGAGCTCGTATCTGAAAATTTGCGCAAAGATTATCGGTTAAGAAGGAAACATTCCGAAGGGATTGGGGTCGAGACTGATATCCTTAAAGCCAAATCTACGACCCTCACTTTTCAGGATAAACTAACACTCATAAATAAACAAGGCTTCGCCAGTGCGCACTAGTTTCTTTCGGCGGTTCAGCTTTCTCGTTTCTTATATTTCGCAAAGCTGCGTTTATCTGCTAACAAAAAAAGTAAACTTTCCGCGTTGCAATCCATGCAGAAAATTGCCTATAGGTGGCGCAAGTGATGAAAACTACTTAATACGTGATAAATCGCATATTATTTATCAAGGCGTGCACGTAAATAAAACAAAATAAGCAGGCACTCCGTCCGAAATCGATACTGGCGCACTGTGCACTGCACGAGCAATAAATATCTGAGTGCGCAATCTAATTTGAATCATGGCTTAAGCGATGCAATTTCGCCCTTCGCTCCTTCGCCGCCAAACCGTGAACGACGTCAATGCAGACGCCGCCGACGCCGCAGCCGCCTCAAAGCAATACGTGTGTGTGACTACTAGAACTAAGGTCGCGTGCAAAAGGAGCGAAAAAATAAGGCGCCAAGTTTGCGCTCACCCCTTGCATCCAAACCAGCAGCCCCCTATACGGCGGGGGCTGCTGATGGTTAACTTTTTAATTAAGTTTCAAAATTTCATAATTCATTACGATATGCTCCGGCGCGACGAGCGACGGCGTTTAAAAATGTGAGTTCGAAATTTCGTCATGTTTTTTTGGCGTCTTGCGGCCGCCCCCTTAAATTAAATTAAACTTTATGTTTACCGTCTTCGCGTGCGGCGTTGAACGAGAGTGAAAAGTATGGTAAATCGATTGGGGTGCGAGGAAAGGCTATTTCGTACTTTTTGCAGTTCTTTTTTGTGTGTGTGAAGATTCATTATTTCAGCAGACAGACACAATCAATATTTCAGTCTGATATAATTAATTGCCCAGTGATAGAAATAATATAATATAAACATTTTTAAGACTTGGAGTTTAAATTTGAAGTTTGGAAAATGTAAATTTAATTAAAATCCATTAGGAAGCTAATTAATCTTATGTTTTTGGATTTCGTTACCAAACCACAAATCCTCTTCAACCCGTGCGCGCACGAGCAAAATCATATTTCAAGAGAAAAGCATAACAACAACGCTTCATCTAATTATAATTACCTAGAGTCCTACACCTCAGAATATTCATCCCTCGAATCTCAGCGAGATCCGACGCCGGTATAAATGATTAATTTCGGCCAGATTAAGGCGTCGGATTTAAGTTAAGAAGTAAATCTAGTGCATTAGACGTATCCGGTTGTCTTATCCCGTTTTCAGCACTCGCTGCCGCCGGATTTACAACTAACAAAACAAACCATTTAACGTTTGACCCTAATCCACTTTAATGCCCCGAGTGGGCCCTATCGTGATGTCCGTACGCCGCCCGAAAGAAATCGAAAAGAAACGCGCAATTGAAATGCATCTGATAACAGCCGAAAAAAAAATACCGCGAGTATAAAAGACTGGCTTAACGCGACGCGTATAAATTTCTCCGCATAGTGGAGGAAATATATAAGTACCTTCGAGGAGGGGAGGCTCGTCTTCGAAGTCTTCGAACTTGTCGCCGGCAGCAGCAGGCCCCGGCTGATAATACCCAGCATCAGCGCCATTCAAATATGGATTCGCTCCGTACATATCGGCCGATTGCTGAACATTTCCAACGTTCGCGTCGAACGTTTGAAAGTCCCTGAAACATAAGATGATAAGTTTAGTTATCAGATTCTTAAACGCCGACCACATATGAGTAGCGCGCCACCGTCAGAGCGCCATGACTATGAATGTCATGAATACATAATTTCGCCAACTTTGCACCGAATGCGAATGTTATTACAACTTGCGCGCGCGCTAACCACGCAAATAAATTTCGTGAGGTTAAATTACAATTACGAATTATGTGCGGCGTTACGCGACGCAGCGAGTTTAAAGACAAGCAATTAGGATAAGTGAGCACTCACAACTCCTTGCCAAAGTCTTGCTGAACAGGCATCTCAAAGTTGTAACTGCTATCGGCCTGTCCCTGTTCGAAGCCGGCGTACTGATTGGGATCATGCATCCAATAATCCTGTTGTTGCGGTTGCTGCTGCTGTTGGAATTGATACTGTTCGTTGTAGTTAGACATCTTGAACACCTGCAGAACACACTTTACGCTGTTATTCGAATCATTGCAGATTATTCGTTTGATTGTGCGTTTGCCGCCAGAAAATAAATCCGTCAAAAAAAAAACGGTTTATTTTCTACGTTTACGTCCTGCTCGCGACCTCTGGTGAGTAAAACTTTAATTTATTTCAAAGTAAAAAAATGATAAAATATTAAATATTAGTTTTAAGACTCTAAATTATATACATTAAGACGTAAAAACTATGTTTATCTGAATTAAATTCAATATATCACATTCCTCCACGCAATATTAACAATAACAATAAAATAAATGTATTATTCTATCTATTTTAGTACAGGCAGCGCCATCTGCCAGGTTGACTCAGTACTAATACACACTCGCAGTTAAAACTTGATAGCAGCTGCGGCGAGAAAGTTTAAAACGAATGGCGGGGACAATCATGCATCGTAAGCACTCAGCATATTTACATTTACACTTGACGTGGAAGTAATAATCTGTTTTAGAACATCGTACAAACTATTTCAAAGAACATTTGCGACCTCGGATGGCATTTATTTAACGAGTTAATTACGCCAGCAGGAAAATGGCGTCGGTGAACACGATTTACAACAATTGCTGATTTAAAAATGAGGTACTTACGTTGAAAAACACACGCTGATTATGAGCGAATACACGAGTACTGATCACTCGCGCGGAGGTTATAACATCAACTGGGTTGCGTGCATGTTTACGCTACTTCGAAATGGAGTTGCTACTAGTTAATGATGATTAGTTTTCAGTGACAAACATATTTGAATAGGAAGCAAACAAAAGAAGGTGACTTATTACTACTCAAAGGAATAAATTAAGGAAATGTTGACATGTATTTCTGTATAATGAGATAAGACACTTACAATAAGAATACAACATTCATTTTTAAAAACCGATCGGCGACGGAACATTTAATCACATTTATCTTTTGCGCACATAATTGAGTTTTGATTTTGAATCAGTTTCCGAGTTTTCAGTTTGCCGCTACGTAAAATTATTGTGCTTATGATTAACGTGCAACATGAGCACACATAGAAAAATACTCTCCAGTTTTCCGCTCAATTTGTTTGTTTAGTTTGTCGTATTCAATAAAATGGCTACTAATTGCGTCTTTTGTAACTAGAATGCGATAAAACTAAGGCACAATCGCTTATTCGAGAACAATATCATACATAAAACGTACCAATTCAACTTCGTGTACTTGGTGTTAGTGTTGCTTACTACCACTTACAAGTAAACGCAATACTGATTGATTTTGAGATAGTTGGAACACATCGTCACAATATAATCTTTGTTTTTACAATAAATATTTCAATTCAACACAGTTCATCCTATAAGGCATATATTAATAATTGATTTTTGTTAGCTTGCGCAGTTTACCGCACAAAATATCGTGTTGTCTTTGAAAATATTGTACTCTTTGTAGAAAAAAAAACCTAAGTAAACAAATGCGATCTAATACTAACTGGTATCTCGTGCGCGTCAGCTGTAGCGCACGGTTCGAGTTAAAAATAAGGCTTACCTAATTTGTTGACACTATAAATCAATAATTATACTGCATTATTTACTACTAATTAACGACTAGAATGATCGATGCGATGTGTTTTCATAAACAATGGTTGCGTGTTTCAACTTCAATTCGTCGCATTGTATTTGAATTTTTCTTTTTGGCGAAGTTAAAATTTCATTAAAAGCTAATCAAGGCAACCAAATTTGATTAATTCCATCATCGTTTGTACCACTGTACTCAACAGCTTCGCTTTTCATTGATACATTGAACATATCAACACATTTATATCTCTACGCTAGTATAATACAGTTATTAGTATAATGAGATTATTGTTAAGTTTTTGCGGGGTTACATCGATTTTCCGTAATCAAACTTTCACAACCTTGTGAAACAATTCAATTATGTATGGTTATTTGTTACTATATTATTTATATTCGCATAGGTGAACATATTTAGAGCAATTCCTGGTATTTCATTGCATCGTCAGTTATAATCGCAAAAAATGAAATTTTAAAACATTAATTCGCGATTTTATAAAAACTATTATTGCAATGGAGTCGATGTGCTGTATTTACTTTTACAATGATATTGCGAAGGTCGTTTCGACACGATTTTACATCTCAATAAAAAATATGTTTACTGCACAAAACAACACCTAAAAGAGATGTTTTTATTTTTTGTTATTCACGATCTAATTTTTATCGAAATTAATGCTTTTAATAACGCACTTAGTTTAATTAACTGAAACGAATGTAACCCCTTAATAGACGTGATTTTTTGGTTGCGAGACGATATGCCGGAACCGCAGCAAACACAAATAAATTTATAGTCAAAACTTTACGAATTATTACCGAGAATGAACATGACGCAATGCAATTGTGCATGTAACAGGTTATCACGAATGTGCTGCGGTATTCATCGATTCAGTTGTGATGAACTTGTTGTGCGAGCACCGCGATGCAACCAACTGCTAAAATATGCCGTGCGGTTCCCGCATGCGATTGTAAACCGTACGAATACAGCGTACACATTGAATGTCTTTTTTTAAGTACACACATGTTTGATTAATATATTAGTACGAGCATTACCAGCAAAAAGGGGTTATATAGGTGAAAATATTTGAAATAAAATAGAATTCTTCTGATTACATATTCGAAATTAATACTATAAATTGACAAGTTTGCTTTCTAACCGTATATACCCCCTTAATGCAGCTAGAATCGAATAATTTACGATACCCTCATGTGTCGGCGTTTTTTCTGCGCGCAGAGCCGAGATTCGCTTTTGTAAAGTCGATACAAACAGAGAAAAACATTTAAGTACATTTATCAAACCACAGACAGTAGAATATCGATAAATCTATCCGAGTATAATCAATAGGCACCGGTGTTCATGTTTTTGTTTTCGCACATGTGCGCGCGTATTAAAATGGAACGATAAAACCTTGTATACTCCGCGCTAGATGAAAGTGAGGACCTATTCGCACGCCAACTTACTATCAAAGCTGGAGAGCGCGATGGCAAACGCCTGCAGCGCGCACATCGGATACCTGTAATCCATGGTGAAGACATCCTCAGCAACCCGACCAAATTGCATCACCACGTAATCGTTGTCGCTATCGTGGACGATCTGGAAATTCTTCACTGACGCCTGCGTCACGCGACCGTGGAAGTTAAGAACGTACGATTGCGTCTCATCATTCCACACGGGGGTTTTATTGTGAAGCTCAATGAGGTTGTCCATATTCTTCGACTTCCAGCAGTCGATTAAACCTTCGCCAGTCTCGTGTGGTTGAAGTTGTACTCGTTCGTGATCTGTCGTCATACCTTCTCGAGAAATTTTAATTTTTTTAAAAACTAGCTTTTATTTTAAGAGGATTTGTTTACCTGGTAAAATAACCGTCATTTTGCGAGGTCCTTTAAATCCTAAAACATTTGTGTCGTAGATAACAGCCGCCAGTTCTTCCCGGACGTGTTGATCACCGCCTGGGCCCATCCGTCTTGGTGATTTCCCATTATCATATATAGTAAATTGCGTGCCGAGTAAATTCGACCTTAGTTTTCCTAATACAATACAAACAAAGTTCAAAAACTGACCAAGGCCGCCCTCATTTATCTTGATTTATCCTACTTACCTACATACGAATCAGCATTTCGGGACAGGTCAGTGGGGTCAGTAGAAATCAAGTAATTGCTTGTCGCGCTCTTCTTTCGTTTCCTTCCGGCCAACAAAAACACTTTCTTTCCGTAATCCTTCTCTAAATGTAGGAAATAAGTCGGATACAGCCCACGGTCCATGCCCTTTCTGTCTCGTGTGATGCGGCATTTGTATAAACCCTTCTGAATCGCCGGCTGCAGGACAAACCGGTCAATGTTTCCATCAACATCTCCTTCGAATTCCGTTGTGCCATTGCGTATCATCGGCGGTTGGTCATTAATAGGATTGATCGGAACATTGCCGTTGTCCGGAGTCGTGATTGGCGTTGATTCTTCATCTTCCAAGTCCATCAACTCCGAAGAACTCCGCGTTAAGTCATTGGCATTTTGTCCTGTTACATTCACGCACAGTTATTGATACATTCATAGATGCATCAGAATAGAAACAGATTTATAAGAGTATAGAAGAAATTTCTGGAAGTTTGCTTGTGAAAATGTTGAAAATATTTACTTTAGCAACATAGTTATTGATTTATTAAAGTAGAACAGTCCACTACACATTTTTGGTGATTTAAGACGTAATTTCAACATAAATTCATGATTTTTTAAAGAGTTTTCACATAAATTAAGAGAAAATTCATAAATTTGTATCAAAATGTTACATTTTTTTTCATTTGTTCACCAAATTAAAAACAATAATTTATTGTAAACAGGAAAACAACTAAAGAAGTTAAGCAGGAGCAAACAAAAGTATAAAAATAAATTACCTTCAATGCATTCAATAGTTGGAACAATCGAAATAACCTGATCTGGATTATTATCATGTGTCATTGAATATTGAAGGGGGCCATCATAACCTATATAATGCAACATTGATCAAAATCAAAAGCAATCCAACATGCAAACATCAAAACCCAAGCAACTGGGTATCTACCATGTAATTCCTTGCGATGTGCACTGGTAGCTCTACTTTTTGCACTGGCATTCCTAATATCAGATGCCTGGATCATGCCAGTAGTTTGTCTCTTCTGCTTCATCTTCTGCTCCATGAGCTGACGCTACAACAAACACGTCATATTATCGATTGCAATGCACTAAATAATACTATTAATAAATAAACGCTGTAATGCGGCAAGCACTTCATCATTACAAACACACTACACATGTAAAGTAGCCAGTGTATTTCGTTTGACGACATCAAACACTCACTTGCTGTTCGAGTTTCTGGTTTCGCAAATCCATCGCGAACTGAAGAGAGGCACACCGAATAGTAAGTAAAGTTATATAAGAATTCTACGGCTATGTGTGTTTATTATTTAATCGATTATCGCGTCGCGGCGTGTACGCGTGCATGACACCGAGATGAGTCGCTTTCACATCGGTTTGTATTTATTTGTTTACCGAGTGACACTCCGTTACCAACGAGTAACGGCCAACGAATGCCGCTCGACGATCCCCACTGTGTGCTGGTCGATAGAAGCGGCTTCAAGCGGCTGATAGGCGAACTCAAACTGCGCCATCAATTCTAATGGGAATTCTGATGAAACTCGCGTGGAAATGCGAGAAAATGGAAAAGGACGAATACGTGGACGATTATGACTCATTCTCTGGAGATTCTTGGGAAATTTAAGGGATATGCGATGAATTACGAGCTAGACTTCTCTAGATTTGAATAAAATTACAGTAAATTACAGTGGTTTAGCTTGCACAAAAGAAAAACACCGAAAAACTGCAAAAAGAAACGCTAAGTTATTATTCAAACAAAATACGCATGTAAATTAGTAATATATATAATTTCATGCATATTTTAACAGAAGGACGGATTTAAAACTTAAAAAATACAAATTTAAGTTTAAATCGACGCCATTTTGCATTTTAATATCAGTACTCGTATCAGGTGAGTTTGTTGATAAAAACAACAGATATCGTTGAATATATGCAAATTAACTCTGTCCCGAAAAGGTAATTAGGCAAAGTTTGCAGGGGTAGTTTTCAGCTGTTTACTGCTCGTTTCCTAGAATAGGTAATCACGCGAATTTAATGAATAAAGTTTATACACAGGTTATAAACCCCTCTAAAACCTTTTGAAGGTTATTTTACAGATTCTGCGCCAAAGAGACGCCATCTTGAATCTCGCATGTAGGCAACCCAATGTTGCGCTGTTCATATTTTTAAATAAGTATTTATTTTCAACAAAAACAACATATTTCTATAACAATACCCTAATTACAATATAACACAAGAAGTTTATTACTTATTAAATTATATTTTCACTTGAAATCTATTTTAATCACTTAATTAACAAACGCAACGAGTATTAATTTAATTCAAAATTGATGTTTTGGCATTTATTTCCATTCCGTAACTCGTCACGAATCGAAACATTCGAAAAAGTGCTGGATGCGCATTGACTGCGTTGCGTATAAATCGAACCGAAAGAAAAAATGAAACAAAAGTAGAGCGTTTATAACAATTAGAGCGCACTTTACATTCGCTTCGTCCGAGTAAGATACACGTACCTTAACAATAAAATGCCCCGGCCACGAATATTCGGCTTAATTTTACTAATAGTGAGTATTCAGAATAGAAACTTATAATTATCACGGCGCGCAACACAAAAACAACTAATTACGTCGTTCGGTACACGAATTATAGAAACAATATTAATATATATGTAACTAGATACTCACTTACTTAGTTTACTAATAATTATACTTTTCATTCTCGTTATGTACCTACTTAAATTTGTAGTTTTGTTTGTGGCGTTGCGAGGCGCGCGGCGTGAAAACGAACGCGATCAATAAACACGCCGAAGATGCGATTGCCACGCTCAGGGAGCAAATCACCGCGAAGGAGAGCGAATTGGAAAACGTCGTGCAGATCAACATTGAGCGCATGATTCAACTGATTAGCATTATGGGCCAGGTCGACACTTTCCTCGCAGACCGCACGCAACTGCTACTGAAGAAGCTTGCAACGTATATAGACACCAAGAGAAATAAAACATTCAGAATAAAGCCGTAGGTAATTATATCTATTCTTTTATTGAGTTACAACGCAGCGAACTGCAATTGCCACTCTTGATTGCTTTGTAAATGAGTTGCAAACGTGTCGTGTCTCCGTGACTGCAAAATAAAAATGGTATTTAAATAGGTTATGAATAGAAATTACAGAAAACTGTAATTTTTTACCTTTCTAGATAGTTCTGTAGCATTGTTTCGATGTTTTTGTCATTATTCCCGGATTCCTCAGCGTTTAACATTAGTTCACAGAATATCCTCTCATCACAACCATCAAGGGCAAGTTGTGACAACAGACTGTTTTTAGCCTTCTCTCCTGACCTAGCCCTGGCAGCACTTTACGTTATCAATTAATAACAAACACTTAACTCAAAAAAGCAACAAAAAATACTCACGTCCCATTCATAGGCCCAATTGTAATGATACTAGGTGTCAAGGCACTCAACAATAACCCAATTGGAATGAACGCTGTCAAAATCTTGATGATTTTCTTCCATGGAGATGATGACAAATCAGTATGATACCCGCCATCTTCATGATAAGTTTTACTCGGTGGTTTCCTCTTCAAAGTTTTATCCCAGCCACCCTCACCACCATAGGAATGTTTATGCATGATCGGACGTTTCACAAGTCCCAAATCTTTCTGATGCCCTTGACCTGAATGCCCGTAACCTCCGTAAGCAGTCGCGGAACCTTTATCGATGCCGTCTTTCAAGTACGGATACGGGTGATCATTCACCGTGACTGGATGCGTGTGAGGAAAGCGAACCTTTGATGTCCACACATCCTTTTCGGGTTCTTCCTCTTCATTGTCCAATACGTGGGACAATGTGGAGTGTATAGGTATTTTAATCGATGTCCCAAAGGTCTTGGCTTCCGGATGAGCTGGCACGACTGGAAAACGATTGTACTCGTAGATTGTCTCTAATTGCGGGCTGGGACGGAAGTCTTTGAGTTTTCCTACATCGGTAACAGCGGTGATATTCAGGACAGATTCCGGGGAGATCTTCACTACTTGTTGGGATTGTGTCTTGGTCTGTTCCGTGGGCATTGCACGTAATGTTTCCGAATGGTTCACAGGCAAAGTAGAGTTTTCCGGTTTTTTGAGAACACGAGTTTCTTCTGTTTGCAACTCGGGATCATGATCCTCTGGAACGGTGGTAACTTGTGTTGTAGTCGTGGTTATTTGAGTTGTTGTAGTTTCTTCTCCCAAGACACTCATCACTATCAGTAATAGCAGCAGTGATATAGACATTTTGTTGTAGTGTAATCAAAAGGTGTCTTGCAACTGAAGAGTTTCATGCTTTGCACAGTTATTTATAACTTTGGAGTCTTCGAGGTATATTTTCATAGAGTCATTGTGTTTATGCATTTCTGCACGACATAATTAGAAGAAGCTTGTCTTCTATTCAATTTTGTGCGAGTTTTCTCTGTGCGCGCATGCAGCGCGAATTACGAATTGTTTTGTGCATCGCGACACGAAGTGAAGTAACCCGTGTTGAAGGCGCAAATGGTCTTCGAAGAAGACTGCGTCGCTGTGGTTAATGGTTCGGCAAGACAAAGGGGTGAAAGTACTTTCCACGATAGTAGCGCGTACAGTAATTGTCATTGTGTCATTGTTGTACTCCGATAAACGGCTTGCGATAATCGGTAGACAACGGAATTATATGATGAATAAAACGTGTTTATGAACGAAAATCATAACAATACTGAAAGTGTGAAAATGTTATGAAATGCGATTTCACAAATTTACGGCCATATTTGTTTAGGTTAGGTTATACTAGTAGCTACTTACGGGATAATGTTAAGGTTAGGTGTATTTATGCAACCAAACAAACATAAAGTTTAAGTGGATGTTATTTCCTGATGATTTCACCTATTGACATGTAAAATATGCAAGGTAAACATCATTTGCAATCCAAACCAGTTGAGCCATGACCTTACAACTCTCCATCATCAACATCCACAGCACTACCGCCTATGTTAATTGAGAGAAGAAGAAAAAACGACTTGCAATCTCACACGAATAATTACCAATTCTAAACGATGCGGTTTTCATGATTTGAGCAGCTCATCGGGTCGTGTCAAATGCCCCGCTGTTTGACTCAATCACTGTGAGCAATTTTGAACATTCGTTGTGAATCATTAGTGCACCGCGTGAAGAGAATAAATATTGACAATACACAGTCATCAATTAATCGCACGCGCGTTTCTTCACTCAGTTATGGCCTTAATTTGCCATCGCGAAACAAAAAGCGCCTCAAAATGTTGAAAGTGTGCGGGAAAAAAATGCATCACATAAGAAGCCAGATAATGAAATGTTCTTGTAAAAATTTCTTTTTTCCGCACGATATAATTCGTAGGTACGCGTGGATTTGAATGCGTTGATTATTTTTTGTGATTTAATGGACACGCTCCAATCATTTCCCTTTCCGTCGGTGGTATTCTGCGTGCACTCGACAACGCGTCTAATTGCTATCAGAAGTCGCCGCTAATTGTAGGTACGACTGCGCGCAGCATTAATTATTTATTAATAAATTGTTTGGAACGAACGCCAAGCAGTGTAAAATGTTTGGCGCTCGTCAAGGCTGGTAATATCCATAACGTTTAATTAAGAGCACAATTTTTCAATGAACACCTGTAATTATTACTTCTATAATTTTATTGATACTACCAACGCTACTAGACTATATTTTATGCATAATAATTGAAATACTAGGTTAAATAACTAATTATTTAACTAATAAATTAAGTTATTGTGTATCAAGTGTACAAAATACTTAATTTTAACACGCGTTGTGTAAAAAATTATTAAAATATATTTTCAGATTGAGATTGAAATAAAAAAGTAAAAAGCATAAAATTGTTCCCTCCACGTCATAATTTATTAATTCTGCAACAAAAATTAGCGTCGTGTTCGTACAATAATAACATAATTAACTACTTTATATAGAAAGGTCTTCGGCGTAACATTTTGTCGTTTTGTGTTTGTGTGTTTTTTGTTAGTTTCGTTTGTTCACCGCATGTAAGTACGTGTCGTATTCTACTTTCACATCACAAAACATCACACAACCGTTTTTTTCGGGTACAGTTTGATGTAGAAAATGTAAATTTCAGTTGACAAGAACAAACATGATAAATAAAAATGAAATGAAGCAAATATCATGCGCATGAACATTGAGATAATGGTGCGTAATTATTGTCTTAGTACTCGAGTGACTTTAATTTTTGTTTTATTTCACTCTGAAGTTTATAGACTTGACTTTTGGTCGTCGTATAATGTTCTATTGTCTTGCGGTGGTTTTAATTCTAGCGTCTTGTGTGGATTTGAGTGAAAATGCAAACATTCTCGTTGTTAGTGCCAGTTTGTCGAGGAGTAATCAAGTTTGGAATAATGCAATTGCATTTGGACTTGCTGAACGTGGTCATAATGTCACTATCGTCACGCCGGATCTTCCACATGTGATTAAAGTCAACAAAAATGTGTTTTATATTATTTTAGAAGGTATTCAGTTAGAATTATACATTATACACAAATAAAAGCTTTAAAAAATTAATTTCAGGAGCAATTGCCAAGTTTAAACCTCAAATTAAAACTAATGTTTATGATTACAACATTCCTGATTTAAATGAAATGAAAAAAGTAGCAAAAAACAATTGGGATAAAGCATATCGTATATGTGAGTTTTATCTTAATACTCAAGGACTGCAAACACTCTTAGACTACCCGTCACACATTAAATTTGAGGTTATATTGTGGGATCTAGAAAATAGTGAATGTATGCTACCGTTAATACCTAAATTAGGCAACCCACCTGTCATAGTATTAAGTCCTAATGGTTTTCAACCTACGCTGAATTGGATTTTTGGAACACATTGGAAACCATACCTGCCCATACCAGGACTTCCTTATGATAAGGATATGAACTTTATGAGACGATTCCTGAATGCTATAACTATCAAATTTATGTATTACCAAAAATACGAAGTGTATTTGAAGGAAAACATCAATTTAGCAAATGAAAAGTTTAAAAATTACTTCACTATTGATGATGCAATGAATTTTGAATTAAATTTTTCGTTGGCACTGATAAATAGTAATTTTCACATGGATTATGGCCGAGATGTGGCACAAAATAAAATTGTAGTTGGTGGATTACATATTAATCCCTTACAAGAGGCAAAAACCGTCACAAATGTAAATGTAAAAAGAATCTTCGTCTCATTACAAGATGATAAACTTGATAAAAAGCAACTCCAAGGAATCGCTGATTGTTTAGGAAGTTTAGACACTTTTAAAGTTTATTGGCGTGTTGCTGATGTTACGGGAAAAATAATAAAACCAAAAAATATCGTGTTTAATGAGACGTTCAACCAAATTCAAATATTAGGTAGGTATGCGATTAGAAAATTAATTGCACAAAATCTAATTAACTTATTTGTTTACTCAGGCAGTAAAAATACTAAATTATTCATTACGTCTGGAAACTTGCTCAGTTTACAAGAGGCAGTTTACTTTGGTGTGCCGATACTGGCGATACCATCAACTTATGCACAGACAAATAATGTCAAGAAGTTATCGATTGCAACTGGTGCGCAAGGGGCCATCAATGAGAAATATTTATGTCGAAAAATACGTGGTATATTAAATGATGAAGAGTAAGATAAACATAACCTAATATTAACCTAACATAACCTATTCTAACCTTAAAATTGTTTGTTTTCAGTTATTTGGAAAATACAAAAACTAATTCTGGTAGATTTAGAGACCAACCTATGAAACCTTTAGACAGGGCGGTGTTTTGGATAGAATATGTAATGAGACACGGAAATGGTAAACATTTGGAACCATTGACGCGCAACATGAACTATTTCGAGTCGGAAAACATCGATTTGTTGTTTTTTGCAGCACTTTTCTTCATTTGCTTACCCCTCACAGGTCTCTATTTGTTAATAAAGTGTATCCAACGCAGAACGATCAATAACGATGTCAAATTTAACATTAAAATAAAACAGGATTAAAAATACAATGTAGGAAGTAGATGGCGCTGTATTATACTTCGTGACATCACAATTTTCGCGTTAATCGATTGCATCAGTCCGAAGAATCTCATCTTCGGCGATAAAGCCGCAATAAAATTGATATAGTCAGGTGCTCGCCGATGGTACCGTCGTAGTTACCATTAATGAGTGTCTTCCTTTCTCGCCGGTGCCTTGTGTCAATGGTATCTGGGTCAGCGCTATCCCCAACTGAAAGAGTCTGGTGCGGTCTGGCAGACGAAAGTGTTCTCCGAAAGTGCACTTGCCGCAGCCGGCCAGTCATTGACGAACCTCCCGGCCCGCTCGCGACCAACTACAACGTCGTCGGCGAGACTCTCTTTCCTTGCGGTGAAAGCCTTTCTTCGCCGGTCGACGGAGGCGCGCCAGTCGTAAGCCACGAGCGGCAGCGCAAACGCAAACGACGCACGAGTCACCAATTCGTCGCGAATCTCGAAAATTTTCAATTTTTTGTCTTCCGCGTCGTAAAACTCAAGGATTTACTTAAAAAGTGTTATTATTGAAGAAGAATACAATGGAGCTGTTTAAGGTGGGTGATAATTTATCAACTTAAGTAACATTACTTAAATTATAATGAGATGCGGCGGAATGTCAACAATTCAACGATTCAGGCTTGGCACCGTGTCAAACCCACAATGATTAAAGTTGCATTATTTTGCAATTAAAATTACATCGACATGCGTGCAAACATGCAATTTCTAAACGCACATAGCTCGTAAATCATAATCACACATAATAATGTGACACATCATGTTTTTATTTAATAATTCAGATGAAGAAATAATCATTTTCGTATTGATTTGACAAATATAATCAGGAAATTTATTATTCGTACATAAAACACAATATTCTACACAGTAAACATTAAATTGTTAATAATTCACTGTAATTTAATTTTATTGTAGCCATATCTAATAGTTACAACCGGTGGATTTTAATGTAGGTCATTTGTTATACCTCAATATCTAATTTTAGTAACAATAGTCTAGAAGCAGCACAAATTGTGTTTTATGTTAATTATTACTTTATTGTTAATTAACTTTTTTGCGCAAAATTAAAATTAATCAATTATTGCATTTATAATTGAAGTAAAAGTTGATTAATACTAAGAAATTAATAATCTGTAGATTTATTATATGGAATCCTGTCCGAATTGATAAAATTCCGACGTCGCATTATAAAACGTAAATATGCGCATGACACGCTGGCTTTAGCTTTAACTGGAGCTGGATTCGAAAATATGCGTGAAAGTTTTACGAGATTACAAGCTGAGCAAATCTCAATCCATTTGCGATGCACTTATCAACATTTTTTTAATCAAATGCACTTTTATTAACATAATAATTTAAATTTATGTTTGAAAATATGTAAAAATATTTTCTGAATGGTTTGTAAACGTTTAACGTAGCAAGTTATTTCCTGCGCGATGGGCTCGCGTCCGTCCGGTGCAAATTGGCCGAAATATAATGAGCGGCGCAAATTATCGCGGCGGCGCATGTGAAATAAGAAATTCCGTGCATATTTCGCGTTGGATGTGTAAAAGAAAGTGCCGCGCCGCTGTCGGTGTCAATAACATTCGTCGATGGCCGGCGAAGGAGCGTCGTCCATCGCTGATGGGTTCGTCCGGTGTCGAATGCTTTCACCCGTTCGGCATTATTCATCGCACGCACCAAATGCATTAAAAACAACTTCTACTTACACTTGCTCTAACGCGCGCGCGCGCTCGCATCAAAGTTAATGATACGCTCGCGGAATAATAATCATCTTAAACATTTTAGCTAACGGCGCTGCTTTTAGTCTTATTACCATATAGTGGAAGCTGCAATTCAATGCCGCAATTATCGCTAATAAGGTGATCGCATTCATGCGAGTATCTATGAAATTTACACATTTCGCTTTCGTTTCGAAATTTTATCTCAAATAAACTAAAATAGATGCCCCGAGTGAGGATCGAACTCACGACCTTAAGATTATGAGACTTACGCGCTGCCTACTGCGCCATCGAGGCTTGTACATCAAAACTAAATTTGAGAAAATCATTCAAAATCATCAAATTTAATTATTTCAGCTCATCTTATTAATGCTCGTAAGCATTTCCCTATCAAACGCCGATACAAAGAAACCCCAGGTCCAATCCGTCCGTACTGAATTACGAGTCTCCAAAAGTTTGGATCCTGAGAAAACCCAAACACTTGAGGTTCTCACCAGAGACGGATCAATCGCACAATTGATTGTTAAGAAACGCGATCCTAAATCTAAAACGCCAATCACGTCGTCTACAAATAATGAAGCAGCGGAACCCCCGAAGGCTGTTTACACCAATTGGATCCCTGTGGGTTCATCAGCCAGTAGCTACACCCCTAATTGGAGTCAGCAGGTTGCTTCTGCTACTGCTGTAAACACTCAAACTGAATTTCGAGTAGCTGACCCTAGCACAGCCAGAAGTGTAAACAGAGGGTCTTCCACAACTGATAATAAGAAGGTTTCCAATATTATTGATAGTGATATGTAAGTTTTTTAAGTTTAAACTTAGAATTTAATTTTTGATCAAAATTTATGTTTTTTTTTGCTTTAAAATAGTATTCCTTATGTGCCTCGTCCAGTGACCATCCGCAGTGATGATATCTACGTAAAATCAGCACCTAGTTCATCAAACCTGAAAAAATCCCGTTCGGTAACCTTAGATTACGACGGCATCCCTGTTATCCATGGTGTTAGAGTACCAGATGATGAACAAGACAAAGTTAAAACCTGGCGTAATGCACGTGTGATCAATGGAGAGTTATACCCATATGAAAATGGATACAAACCACCTGCGGCTATCCCAATCGGAGAGTTGGTTTATGCAAACAGTCATAGTGCTTCAAAGGCTTCATCATCAATCAAAGAACTTGAATCTTCCGGTTTGGGACCTTTTAGTAAAGAGGACAATTATAGACAAGTGTATGAAACATCAACTTCTAAGGGACCTTATACAGTTCACGATAACCATCAAAATTATGTGAGGGTTAATACCTTTGGACCATTTACAAAGGAAGATAACAAGAATGGTAACTCTAAGTTGATTGATTACATCAAGGAGATTAATGATAAGGAAGCAAAACGTGATTACATCACCAGTAGAAGATATAGGAGTTATCAGGACCAAGAAAATCAACAGATTCAACGTCGTATGCTTCAATACCCAAACTCTTACAACTCCTACCCAACTTCAGCTATGTACACCCCAACTACAAAACTGTCTCCTGTCAATTTCAATGAAGGTGTGCGTACCCCAGTGTTACAGTATGCTCACCCCGAGTTAGGTGTCCAACCCGCCCGGATACAGTCTGAAGATGAACGGGATTTCTCCAATTACGAACTCAAACCAAACCGGAATTTCGACGAGAACAAACATTACAATCCCAACAGTATTGAATACTACAAAAAAGATGTCCTCAACTACCCTTATGGATCTTACTACCTGAAACCCAAACCTGAACAACCCTTCTGGTTGAAGATCAGTGACAGTATAAAAGACAACGTCCAGAGTGGTTTTGAACGTATGCAGCAGTTGACCCGACCTGTTTTTGAACCTTTGATGGAAGCCTCTCATAAAATCTCCTACAACCTAGGTTTGACCAATACTTATCCCCACAACCCTCAGGAAGCACAGAAGAAAGTAGGTCTTTTACCGGTTGGTGGTAGTGTTTTACTACCTGCAATTGGTCTAGTTGCTGGTGGGGCTGCGTTGGGACTAGGGGCAGCTGCAGTGGGACGTTTTCTGGAACCTGGTGAGATGAGGGCCCTTAGACAACAACCACATGAAGAGTATTTGATGTTTTTGAAACAACTGAATCATCAACCCAATGAACAACAGAATCAATTACACCGGAGAATCGTGCGGAGTTTGCAACAGAAAGAAAACAGTGATCTGCAGAGTTTGGGTGATGCTCAATCAACTGGTGCTAGTAGTGAAATCCAGGCGTTGGCATCATCACAAATGTGGACTGACACCGCCTGTTCGAAGAGATTATTCTGTGATGTCATGATGAAGCAGAGTGATGACAACGTCGCCATCATGGAGAAGAAGATGAACCTTTTATTATCCATGTAAGTAGATTACGATTCTAAATTTAGGAAAAAGCAATTGCCCCGGGTGAGGATCGAACTCACGACCTTAAGATTATGAGACTTACGCGCTGCCTACTGCGCTACCGAGGCCAGTTGCGAAACGTCACAAAACTAATCTATTTAAACATGATCAAGAGGAGACAAATAAATTCGCATAAAAGTTCTAAAAGTTTAAAAATTAGGGTGTTGGAGATGAATCTGACATTGGCATTGAAAAACGAAGACATTAAAATGATAAAGCGTGCGCCGGCAAGATGAAGCAAAACGTAAAAAATCATTTACTTGCCGTAAGTTGCCGTAAATGAGAAAATTTAGCTTTCACCTCGGATCGTCGAACTGCTGTTGCTCTTCGTGGCCTGGTTTCGTGCCTAGCTAGAGCCGCGCATACCGGCTACTTCATCTCACTTATCGCATGCTTGTAACCCGTAACACACTCAAAGCAACAGCGTTGCTATCAGTATGATCACTTCGACTAACCTCAAAGGCGCTCCGAGTCTAGGCCTAGGCCTTGAAACCGCGGACAATGACCGTGTGTACCTTCAAACTTCTTACTTTCTACGAGATTCAAGTCACTCAGTCAGTAGTGCAACCTGCATCTTATAGATACTTTCATTCCTGCACAACAAGTGCGTATAGAACTCATAAAATCACCGAAGGTTGTTACGCCGTCATTTATAAACTCAAATTTCAACCCGGCGAGTAATGAGAGTGAAATTGACTTTCTGTTCGGATTAGAATTAAAAACTCTTCGACGCGTTAATGAGCGTCAAATAATTGAAGCATTAATAAGATTAATAATTGTTTCGAGCGTTGAGTACATTTTTGTAGGTCAACTCTGTCAGGTCGACAAAAAATAAAAAATAAACGACGGAAGTTTAACTTCGCACATTGTTAAAATTAGAATTAGTTGTGCTTAACACAAATTATATTTATTTTGTAAACTTGTACATCGTTTCATATTTAAACTCATCTTCAGTTTTAACGACGTCTGCGGACACGACAATTCCAATTAACCTTGATGATTGCCCGTACAATATGATGAACTAATTAATAACAGAAAACCAGAATAGAAAGCATTCGCAGTTTGTTTCTATGCAGATGCTGTATCACATTTACTAATTCGATTAATCATGCAATGTTTATTTAGTGCACTTTATCTAATTATTTTCTTCGGGGCCAACTGATGAACAGATCGATATACATTTCGAAAGTATATAAACATTATTAACTAGTTAGAAACCATCAACTCACTAGGTTTCTGTTTGGTTTGTGATCAATCGATATGAATTTGCATTATTTAAATAACAATGACGAGCGGATAGCTTTTTTCTCGTCGTAAGCATCTGATTGTTCAACTTTTCTATTTTTGTGCTAAATATTTGCTCCATTTAATTATCATACGTTGGAAATATTATTGCGCTTTATTATGTTTACATTACACGTATGAAGGTTATAATAATCAATAGGTATGTAAATATTTGATTACTTCATTCATTCATTCACAAAGTACTTTGTTTATTAATTATGAGATATTCGTAATCTGTCATTGGTAACTGTCGTCATAAATTAATTATTTACAGGTTTTAATTTATTCAGTTTTTTGTATAAAAAAATGTGAAATTCGTGTATTTTGTGTTGCATATCATATTTTTGGTTATGTCATACTTGATAACCTCATTTAAAAGCTTTTTTCTTTAGTTTTCTTATTTTTTTTTAATATTTTAATGTTTTTCCGTTTTTTAAAGCAAAAACAAATTTTTTATACATAAAACTTTGATATTCTTGATTTAATACCACTACAGACTTTGTTTTATACATTATACATTGACGTAAAATATTACACGATCTAATTTATAATTTATAATATGTATAATGTGCATGTGCAACCGTGGCACAATTACAAAGTTTTATTTAATCGGCGCGTGCTAAATAGTTGCACTTACTGTTTGCAACAAGCTGCTACTTGCAACAATTAGTCACTTGTTCACTACTTCCGTTTATCTAGTGCTTCTTTCTTCTTTCGCTTCTTCTGTCATGCAAAGTGTGATTCAATGTTGTGCGGTGCGTCGTGCTTTCTAATTTTTCTAAGCATTACCTTCCGTAATCGGAGCCTCAACGGAGTGTGACTGATTGTGCCAAATGTGAGTTATTAATTTAAATGTACATGCTCGGCGTCCACTTAAGTGTTATGCTTTAGTTGTCGTATGTAAAATGGTGGTAGCTGGGAGCTACTGTTTTTGTTTTCGTAAATTTTAACTTCCAAACCGAAAAAAAATCCGTACATTGGTTCCACTCTATAAACTTGCATGTTTAAAGTTAATAGAGTTACAGGCACACGCTAATTTTGCAAATTTATTAAACTAGAATAAAATAAAAATTTAATTCAAAGAATTTAAAACAATATTTTGGTGTCAATAGAATAAAATAAAATAAATATATATGTAAATAACACGATTGAAAAATTAGAAGCGTTTTGCATTCCAACATTTTACTAAAATGTTGAACAAAATCATTCGCATTTGATAGAAATGTTCGAAAAAAGTTTCTTACCATTTAGTACGCGTCCGCATACATTAAAGATCGTGAGTTACAACTTCCAGCAATGTCTAGGCCGCAGTGAAAGTAAAGAATTTCGTCTGCGGGCAATAAACGGCATTCTTTCGCTGCCTTTTTTTTTCATATATTTCTTGTGGCAGGTTTGCCGTCCAATGACCAAAAGCGATCGCGAATCGCGTGCGCCGTCGGCAGGTTGACAAATTTCGACGGGCATGCGAACGCCTTAATTCATCCTAGGTCCTACCACTCACACAACCTAGGCGTGTCGACAGCATACTTTCCATTTCCACCTGCTAATACAACGTAGAAATCAATTTTTTCGACAATCGCGTGCCGAGAACTAAATTAAATCCAAGTCAATCAATAACTACTATTATACTATTATTTCTACTAAGAAAGGAAGCGAAAAGAATGAATGAAAGTCAAAGACCTAATAAGATTGCTATTTTTGTGAGTATAATTACAATTTTCCGCTGTTTTGATTGTTTCAGATTTCCATTTTATCGAATTCATCCACATCCGGCAATCAAAGCTTCGGTGAGTTCGCATCTCAGCGAAGTAATGGAAGCTGTCAAAAATAAGGACTGCTCCAAGTTCGTGTGTAGTCAAAGACTCTTTTAATGCATTCACACACACAATCTAAAACCCAGTTATCTAATTCTAACAAGTAAAACTGTATAGACTATTTATTTAAATTAAATTATTATGATTTCTGTTTCTATTATTTGTCGCGAATAATGAACGAAAATTGAGATCGCCAAAGTCGCCTGCATACTAACCCAATATTTTAGATCCTGTTTTTAGTGTTTTTTTATTTCAACCATTGTACTTACTTACTCTGTAGAAAAACAAAAACAAACGAAAAAATCGGAAAAAACTAAAACATTTATACATAGATACTAAATAAAATAAAGTAAAGCATTTCCTATTTATTATGTACAACAAGACGTATTTTATAAACAAATAATTCTAATTTTAAAACGTTTTTAACCGTTGTATATTTATATTTTCTATGAGATGAATGTATGATTATTGTAATGTTTGTATAAACATCGAGGTAAAATGAACGTATTTAAATAAAGATTAAAGAAGTTTTATTTGCGTATGATATGAGTTGGATTTTAGGTATAATAAATGAATAAAACTGAATGTTGGTAGTTTTATGCACAATTCTCTACTTTTACATCTATTTATCGCTAGTTTGAACTGCGTATCAATCGAAACGTTCACAAAAACTTGATGTAAACAAGATTAAAAAGCCGAATATTCAGACTTGTTTTGCAGTAGTTTTTGTTTGTTTTTATGATTATTTAAAGTTAAAAAGTGCATTGTCGCGCCATCTCGGTGCCATCTAGAAATACTAAATTGCTTGTGTGCGTGAGTTGTGTCTTGGAGTCAGTAAGTGCGCTGTTAGTTGAATGGCGGGGCATACGTGTAGGTGAGAGCGTCTCAAGTTTACAAGGCATCACCCGTCTCTCTGCACGCCAGCATCAAAATATAGTTTATAATTCTTTCACAGATGGCGATACGATGCGTTTATTTTAATTAAATTAGATTTTCAACAAACTGCTACAAAATAATCAAATAATTTAATTGTTTTTGTATTGAATTTCATATATTAATGTTCAATAAGTATATTTTACAATATTATTTATTATTTTCACTAACAATTTTGATTGAAATTCAAATTTGGCCCAAATTAATAAAAAACACAAAAAAACAAATTTTAGGTGATTTAATACCGATTTACATAGTTTTTGTGTATTTTAATATTACTAATATTAAATATAACCATATTTCTTTTGTCTATATGTAAGAAAAGTTGCATATAGTATTATTCCATTAAGTTTAGCAACTAATTATTCATTCCACGTTCGATTATAAACCAAACATGACGTCAAATACATTCAAACACCACAAAGAATAACAATTACGTGTCATGCAATTGATAACACAATAGCTATTTTCCGATTATTCTAGAAACACCATACAGAACATGGCTTGAACTTCAAGGGTCACTCCGGGCCTTTGACCCCTTGCTGAAATACATATCTAAGTTCCCGAATTTACTAAAACACTGAAATTCTCCGTTGATAAAATTCAAATGTAAATGAACCAGTTATAGTTCTATATTTTAACTTTGAATTGATAATCAAAGCTGATCGCATTCAAGGCCTGTGCTACTACACAATTTAAACAGGGTACAGTCAGCTGTGATGCGTTTCAAAGCGATGAATCAACTTGGAATAACTTAGAAAAAAATAGAGTTAAACTCGCGGAGAAAGAGAGAGAAAGAGAGGAGGAGCTCGCGGTCGCGTGTAAACACCACGCCGCAGTGTGTCTAAACTCTGACGGCGGCAATTTCAGCCGGCGACGAACTCCATTCCGCCGCAGTTTACGTTTTGTTCAGTGTTCAGTCCAATTCAGTCGGCATCGTGAACTCGACCAAGTCGCGCACCACCAATGTCGCGAATTATGTATACTACTTTCGATTAGATCTCAATACAACCACCAAGAATAAAAACATAAACAAATTACCAAAAAAACTTTTTAAAACAAAACAAAAACTTTTGTAAGAGTTACGAGTTACGAAAAGTCCGAAAAGTTTTTAACATGGAGACAGATCAATGTTTAAAAGAGTCACTAATGGTGCCCGATTGCATGAACGGATTTAGCAATCACAGCAGCACGGAAAAACTTAAGTTGACTTATTTGGCGCAATGCACGCCGGTGGACATCGAGTTTCATGACTTGTGCTACTCCGTACCGCTGGGCAAAAAAGGTCAGACTTGTTTATTGTATGATAATTCCTACCTACATGTTAGCTATTGCTTTAGCTGTTACTGTTAAATACTATAATTAATATTTGTCTCAAGTTATAAGTGCATATCTTCATAAAGTGCATGGCGTTGACGTGCGTGACTTAAGTTATTCACTGCGAAAGTTAATGAACTTTTATGCACCAGATATTGAAGTTATCAAGTGGTTTTTCAACGCATAGGAATTGCACAACTTTGATTATAATTAATATAATTTATTGACGATGATGAATCAGACGATGTGTCGAACTATTCAATAATTCATCAGATAATTAAACATATTTGCATTTTAAACACACCTTTGGAAGTTGTCATGATTCATTTTTATCCTAGCGCAAAATTATTTATTTTTTTAAAGAGATAATTCGTTTCTATGACGACGAGGTGTATAGTTGGTTGCGTCAGAACTAAACCTTAAAAGGAAATAAAATTAAACATTATTATAACTTGATTTTGATTATAGTTCAGTTTAAAGAGTAGATTAATGTCTTTCAACGCTAATAACAATTCTATATTGATTTCTTTTTATGTTTTTACGAGCTGCGAATAAAATTTCTCCGCAATAATGACAGTAATTATAAAATTAAATAAATTAATAGTTTACCTTCGGTAAATGTAATAATTTCTTATAAAATCGTTAGAATTGCGCGTAATTAGAATGTTTGTACTTGTGAACTAAGTAAATGCAGTAAATGTCTTCGTTCATTAGGTCATTTGTGCGCCATTTGCGCGTCAGGTTAGGTTATGTTCGGCGTTGGTTTAAATAGAACGTGACAGTTGAGATTTATCGATCAATTTATTATCGTGACCACCAGTTTGGCACCACAAGCCCACAAGTAAATTTTTATTGAGGCCCACAGCAAGACGTGATTAAAAGAAAGTCAGTCAATTGCAAAATTCAATAAAGTAATGTTTTTTGCATACTAGTAGCGCATTAAACAAGCAATAATAAATAATCTAATAATTTTTTTCGATGTAATAAATTAGATTTTATTATTTCGCTTCTAGTTTCAACGAATTGTGATAAATTACACCGTGTTTAATTGATACAATTTAATATGTCAACTTTGCCACGAGTAATGATGCTTCTGAAATATTGCGAAATGTATGCCGATAGTTTAAATTTAATTTACATACACTTAACATTTTTGAGAGTTTATTTTGCACGCGGAAAAACAAGTCTGATGGAAACAAAACTCTTGAAAAAATGCTCAATATTTACTTTTTACTGCGCATTAGAAAATTCGATGAAAATAATTTCCACCTTGACACTACCTTCGCTTCAAGGTTTAATTAATTATTTCAATTAAATTATACTATCAAAGAAGTGTTCTAGTTAATTTTAATTGAATGTTACACACTGAATTTTCTATTCGGTTGCAGCATAGATTGCAAAATGGTGAAAAAAGAACGTTATGAAATATTTGCAATTTGATCGAATAAACTTCAATCAGATCGTGACTCTGCGCTAAGTTGCAATTTCACTTATTTCTTGTCCAACATATTTGGTGTACTGAATGTGAAAGGACATTGTCAGAGTAGACTTTATTTCTTGTAAAATTAGGCATGAAATTTAAAACATATTCAAAACCAGTGCACGAAATTTCAAAATTTAACTGTTTAGAATAGAAAAACTAGAAAGTTGAAATATGAAGTAAATTTAAAAACTGTAACAAAAAATAAAGCAAGATTTGCGCTTGTTTTATATAAGGCTCTAATGTTTAATGTTTAAAGTACTTAGAATTTATTCTTATGTTGATGTGAGTTTTACAATTCAAAATAGATTATTTGCGCTATTTGCGCTGTTTTTAAATTTCACTGCGTACCTAGGTACTGCAAAAACCATTCACTGCATTTATTTATTGTCTGCGTCTGAGTTTATGTAAGTTTTTAACTTACAATTATCGACAAAGCGACATTCACGTGTGTGCACATTGTGGTTTTCCAAGTTTCTGCTTTTTCTCGGCGACACACATGACACACACTCCAGCTATAACTACCCAACTATTTGCTGTTTAATGCAATTGCTAGCTTGCTCACAGACAACTCCAGCTTGTAATTACAATTAGTCTAATACGCCAATAACTAAATTATGATGTCATTGTTTAAACACGGTTTGTAGAAAAATGTTTTATGTACTTATTAGGTAAACAGAAAGTAGGTAAGTAATATGCAGTGATTTATAATTCATAGATGCGTTTGGTTTTCGCCATTTTGCATACGGAGGCAAATAGCGTTGTTTTACTGCAGCGCAAACAGATGGAAAGATGAATAGGTTATAAATCTAAACGGATGTCTATTTAATTACGCGAGCAGCCCTCACTGGTGAAACAACTCAGCTTTCACTGACTTTCAACTAATTGCATTGATTTTTTGTCGGGTATTATGCAGTGCCAATCAATAAATAATAATTATTAATGTAATTGCCTAGGCAACCCAAAAAACATATATGGTTATGTTCTATACGCGTATTATTAGGTTATACGCGTCGAAATTTATAGATAATTTAAAAGTTATGTATTAGTAATTAAAAATATATTTAAACGCCGAAAAAAATTTGTATGCGAGGTTTAGTAATAAATGACATTTAATTTTTTGGCTTTAAAAGGCAATCATGTATTTTTATTGATTGCATTTACTTTGTAGTTTAATTTATGTCAGACAAATAAAAAAGACACATAAATTTTAACATCTTATGGATAATAAATATTTAAAATAGTTAATAGTTAAAAATTGACTGAACTTTTTTTTTACTTTTTCACTCGTGCAACTTAAAATAATCAACTTTTTAATCTAATAATCTAATAACTTTACATTCACAACATGTCAAAAATGACTTTAAAAAGTATCAAATCATACCATCTGTAATCTCTGATCAGAATTACAGATACACACAATAAAAATCTAAGAAAGTTTCTTTTTATTTCTGGCCTCAGAAATAATTTTCTATTGCTCAAGAAAAACAAAATATTTCACTAACTATAAAATCATATAAATTAAGTCTGCAGATTGCATCGATTACAAAATATTTTCGCAACTTAATTTCAATCAAAATTAACATCTGCAATACTAATACTCTCTAATAAATCCTTTTGATTTGTACAGCAATAATTGTACGAGTACTTTATGCTCATACTCAATGTTACAATATTACATTATTGAATAAGACGTGGATCATGTTTCAAGTGCTTCTTCACTCGACGCAAACTTGCAGATACAATCGGAACGAAATGAATGAAATGAATGAAAGGTATTGAATTACACACTTCACATATTGGACATTAGCGCCATTGCGTAAGTGAAAACACGTATTTTTTGTGAAATCATTGCACAAGTTAAAAGTCTAACAGACTTAATTGCAATCTTTATAGATCGCCGCTATATTCATACATATGTGTGCTGTGTGTGTGTGCATGACATGCGGATTTTGTAGAAACTCTTTTATTCTTCGTACATCGCACGCTATGGCGTCAAAAGAGAATTAGAGTATGCAACATACACCTAATAAGCGGAATTAAGCACCTCATAAATATAATCTTCCATCGTGTATATTGTATATTGTATAGAATTATAGAATGTAAACGTGAACTTGTCATACTCATAACTTACGCTTGGTGCAATGACTGTGTACTTTACTTTACGTTTCGAACGGTTTCTAATTTTTTACGTCTTAAAATTTGTATGCGCACGTAAATTACATTAAATTTGTTTCATATAATCGTCGTTATTCTTATTAAATTTCTATTTTTTTTTGTGTGTAATGCAACAAGTGCAATTAAACAAAAACAAACAAAGCTGTAAAAAATTGTGTAGAAGATATTTTATTGCAATTGTTTGTGAAATTAAACATTAAGGACGAATAAAATGTTTTAGAAATTGTTGGGAGATTCTTATGATTATTTTATTCAATAAAAACCTGTTTGTTAAATATCTGACCTTAGTTTTATGTAAAACGTGATTAACAATCGAAAATTTGTTTGTTTTTATTAAATCTATGTTAAACGTTTTAACGTGGCAAGTTTTAAATTAGCCATAGTTTATATTTTATGCTTTGTCATGACATTTTAACAACAATTCAATTAAAAAATCATTAACTCATGATTTTTTGCTAATGTTTAACAAAAAATTGATTTTCAATTTAAAAATATGCTAAAAATATTCATTTCCATAGAAAGTGAACAAAAATATTCATAATTTTTTATTTGTTTATATTCACTGCGTGATCAACCTTGATTGATGAACTTCATAGTATAAAATTTTAAAATAAATAAAATCGGGGGCAATACAACATATGTTATTCACGATTCTAAACAAATCGAAACTTAAATCTTTCATATTATGTCATTATGCAGATTTGCAGTAACAATTATATAAAAATCTTTTTTATATTTTATTGCTTGATTGACTAAGAGTTTAGCCAGACATTCTTCTAATTAGTTTTGTTTGAAACAAGTTAAAAGTGTTTTGATGTAAGCATTGACATTGACTTTAGACTTGTGATCGAATTAAGCCTCGAGTTTCAAGTTAATATCCAATGAAATTGATTAATAATTATACATCACGCAGTATTAAAATAAAAAGTCGGTTCTAATGCGAACAAAAACTTTGAACAAAATTACTAAAACATTATGTAATTAATTATATTATTACAACAGTTAAGTGTGTGTGCATGTATCAATCATTTCCAAAATTAAATTTTCTATTTTTGATTAATTACTAGTTTTATTTCGCACGGTATCTGAAGTAGTAGTTAATTAATCAAATTTCTAACATCACATCATATTACATTATTACTTCTATTTAGTGTTGGGTTAATTATGAGAACAACTAGAAACAGAAATGAAAAATTTCACTTAGATGGTAATTAAATATTTACGCAAATAGAAATAAATGTTATATTTTATGTGAAAACTCGTTTTTTGACACGTTGAGCAAAAATTGTATTTTTATTGCCTAATAATTGACATGTGTGAATTTTGAGGTTAGTTTTTGTCAAAAATGACATTTATAACCTTTAAAAGTAACTTTTCAACTCCAATACGTAAAAACAGAAGAATTTTCTTAAAAAGGACATTGATCTATATTTATCCAATCTTCTAGCTCTAACAGTGTCTGTTATATCATAAATATTTTACGTTCATGCTAATTCAACATTGACATTGTCGGTTGACTGGAGATCAGGTTTTTATAGCTTGATTTTATAGCAAAACGCGGCATTAAAAAAGAAATAACATCTAGATATGTGCTAAAAGCTAATACTTTGAATTCCAATATTGATACGAATATAAAACTTAAAAATAAACAAATATTGTTGTTATAAAACTGGAATTAATTAATTAATTAGGGAAGTTAGAACAAAAGTGATCCTTGAAAAAAATTGTGGTTAAGGTGCCTTAACCGTATATGTGTTATTCCATCCTTGTCTAGGGGAGTGCTAACCGTCTCTCCTTTCATACAACACAATTGCGCGTTGCGCTGTCAAGCATTTTATACCTAACTCAGTTGAGAATGCATGGCAGAGAAGTTCTATTTTTATATTAATTTATTTTAGCATTATTAACTACCTAAATATATTTATATTAAAAATATGTGAATATAAATATATTTATTACGGAAGTGTAGATTCAAAAATACAAATAATCAAATGTTAAATTTTTATAGTTGTAAAACGGATTCCTAATTTCATGTCAACTTACTACTCAACTTTACAACTTTTTTTACTCAGCGGCAATTCAATTGTAATGTCATTGTCGTCATGAATAATTACACAACGAAACAATTCTGCAATTCTCGGTTACATCGACACTTTTAATTTAAAATCACTAAAATACGAGTAGTTAGATGATGCATAGTTCAAGGTAACTTTATTTATTCACGCTTTATTTTTGTTTGTCGCAGGTACCAAACAAATCCTCCACAACATCAGCGGACAATTCAAAGCTGGTCATTTGGTGGCCATCATGGGTCCTTCAGGTGCTGGCAAGAGCACCTTATTAAACATTTTAGCTGCTTATAAGTAAGTTGCAACAAAATCAAAAAGAAATTTTAATAATTACTTAATGATCTCTCAACTGAATTTCAATGCCAATCGTTAAATAATTTAAACATATACTATAATTACTCCTGATAACACCTGCACATTTACGCGTGACATAATTTCATTAAAAGCAATTTCATTAAATCAATATTTCAATGCCACGTGAGTTGTAACTTGGAAGTTGTATCACAATTAATTTGAAATTCTCTCCGCATACAGCAAACCGCCTTCACGCGTGTTGCAACATTCGTAAAATTCGTTGGGTCACTTAGTCCTAAACGGGCCAGTGGTCGTAATTTTTCGCTTCCAAGAAGCATTTCGCAACAATTTGCATGCGTCTTAAGCCGTCTTGAGCTCCCAATGAGATTGCGGTTTATTTTTGGCACAAATCGTGCGAATGACCTGCTCTTATAGGTTTTCGTGGGTTTCTGACGTCAAGAAACCCTTGATAGTTATCTTTATCATTTAGAAAAAGATTTATATAAATGTATGCAACCAAATTATCAAATGGAAGCCATATTTACACTGAAAATCAATTATTTTACAAAAAAAACTTGCAGTGTTGAAATAAATGTTAATAAATGTGATAAAATCAAATAAAATAGTGACGTTTTTAACTATCAACAATAAATTATCATTTTTGCGTTATTACTTTATATTTATTACACTTTCTATTTTTTTATATCGGCGATGTGCTCAAAGGCCTAAAAGTCAGTATTTTATAATTAATATATACTATCAATCACATTAATCTGATAAAAAGCTTTAATTGAAAACAGTGGGCGTTTCACAAGCGGCTATAAAATTACGAACCTGAAATTTAACGAATTAAAAAATTAAGAAATCTAACACGAGATAAATAAAATTGCGTTCATCAATATTTCGACACATTCGCCAGGATATTATATCATTTTTAATTAAGATTTATTCTTTAAACATTTCGGCAATCTCCACATCACATGACTTCAGCACATTAGACGCAAAAAAAAGCCTCGTAAAACTAAAGTGAAAACGAAATTTGAGTTTAAAAAAGGCCACTTACCAAAAACGTTTCAACGAGAGGAATATTGCATGCACGTTGCTTTAATATTACCTGATGGTAATAATAAAAAGCAACTTGCTTCATAGTTTAGCTATCCGGCAATTTGTTTCGTGCGTCACCGAAAAAGTTTCTAACATTAACTCCGCACTCACTGAAAGAATCAGAGTGCGTTTACGCTTAGATTCGGCTACATGAACGAAAATCGTTCGAAAGTTCCATTTATTTCGGCGTTGAATAATTACAGATTGAATTTCATAAGTTCACGATAATTTTAAATATATTTCATTTCCTTGCGTTAAAAATTGATTGCCAGAGGACTAAAATTTCGCTTTTTGTTGGTTTTACAACATGTGTATGACGTTTATTGCACATTAAAGTAAACTAAGTATAAATAATCAATTTAATTACACATGCGTGAAGATAATTTCAGTACTCATACTAAATGCGCACATGGCTAGTAATGATAGAGCGCGACAAAAAACCAATCACATGCAATTTCAATTATTCTATTATTTCACACAATTTGCACATTCTGCGATTAGGACAGATTCCATTGCGTCAAGATTATTGCTGCAAGCGTGTCATACGATTTTTCCTTATATTTAAGTTTTGCGACACAATGCGGTTCGGACGTTGACAGATTAGAACTGCATGAGTAAAAGTCGATCGATTGCGCACACACACACCGCACTGTAATAATAATTATCGGAGTAACTAGAACTTGTTCCGTTCACAAATCTTTTCAAAATTGATATTTACAGCACCAACAACCTGTTTTTAACTATTTATATTGCTTTTATTTTTTATCCCGCGAGCATTTCATGCCACACACGTCAATCACTTCTCAATCGTAACGAGTTATAGACGTTTAAAGAAATTAAAACTTAAAATAAAACACTACAAATTGCTGCACTAGAAAAAACTTGCAAATGTGCACAACTTTCGACCATAAAATTATTAATAAGTCCAAAGTCTAACAGATGATTGAATAAATATAATAAATTTAAAAGTTGAGAAATAAATTTCGTCAGTATTAAAAACTAATTGAATTTTGTACAAATATAACCTGTAGTTTAAATTTCAAAAGAAATTTATTGCTTTCTTGTAGTTTGAACGCTTTTGGAACACTTTGGCAGATTAAGCAAATAAAAAAATTGCATAATGAAACATAAATAATGCCAAATGTCGTACAAATTAGGCACAAACACACATAAATTCAAATTCTCATTTTAATTGGGCGTAATCAATTTTTATGTACGCTGAAATGGCGTGGCTATTAATTTGTAGTAATTTATCGATGATATTAACGTAATTGTTTGTTTCAGAATGTCTGGCACCACCGGCACGGTGTTAATCAATGGTGAACAGAGGAATATTCGTAATTTTCGTAAAATGTCACGGTATATAATGCAAGAAGATGTTTTACAACCGCTGCTAACTGTTAAGGAGCTCATGTTTCTTGCAGCGGATTTAAAACTTGGAAGTCATACAACTTCGGAACAAAAACGGGCTGTTGTAAGTATTTTTTAAGCGGTAGAGTAAAATTAAGCTTATTTACTCGTACAAAACATGATTATTTTATGATATAAACATTTCATTAGGTTTACTCATCTCTGATAATAAGATTTTTGCATAAAAAATGTTGCTAATTATAAAGTAAAAGCAGTACCTATAAAATATCTAAGCGTTTACGATCGTGTTGTTATGCGTATATTTCCGTGTTTTATTGCATCAACTATAAACGGAACGTTTTATTATGTTAATACTTTCAGATCAATGAAATTGTCGAGCTGTTGAGTTTGACAAAAACCTTGAGCACGCGAACGGAACGACTTTCCGGCGGCGAAAAGAAACGTCTCTCTATTGCGCTGGAACTCATCAACAATCCACCAGTGTTATTTTTAGACGAGCCAACAACGTAAGTGTAAAATATGTTGCGTTACAGGCAAAAACTAACTAAAACCTAAACCGAGTTGAAATTTTAATGTTTAGCCGAATGAAACACTGTCTTCAAGGCGAAAAACATTTGAACTTGAATGTTAATACCTTTTTTGTTCCTGTATAATTAAATATTAGTATGTAAATAATATATAAAGAACTAGTACAACTCATACTAGTAATATTCACGTTGTTGAGGAAATTTCGACTCCAAAAATGTTAAATTTAAACAAAAGCGTTGCTGTGTTGTAATAATTGTTGACGATGCAAATGGACTATGCTAATTTCTGCATTGTTCTTTAAAATTAAATACAAGCAACATTAACGATGTCCCAAAAGTACTTTTGTTACTATACCAAAACAATTACAAAACTTACATTCTACTTTAAAACAAAAACAAATTTTTGATTCTACTGATTGATTTAGAAATTCTATGAAACTAAATTCACTTTTAACGACAAAATAATAATCCAAACAAAGGAAGTGTATGCAACGTACATCAAAACATTTACAATGGATTTGTTTTTCTATTTCTAGTGGTCTAGATGATACGTCCAGTCATCATTGCGTGCAACTATTGAAAACACTAGCGGAAGGCGGACGTACAATAATCTGTTCCATTCATACGCCCAGCGCGAAACTATTCGCCACTTTCGATAATGTGTACGTCCTCGCTGATGGCTACTGCGCTTATCAAGGATATGGCCCCGATGTTGTGCAATACCTCATCAATGTGGGTCTGCAATGTCCAAAACATTTTAATCCAGCTGATTTTAGTATGTTTTTATAGTGAATGTACAATTTTTACACAATAATTACACTAATGCTTGAACATTTTAGTAATTGAAGTCTGCAGTGGTGATTACGGTGATCATCTCTCAAGTTTAACAAAAGAGTCCGACAATGGCCGCAGTATTGCTTATTACAAGCGTAATATTCTTAATGATAACATCTCCAACGGTATTGTACAGAATAAAGAATGTGATGATTTATCAGAGGATAATCCTTATAAAGGTACAACGACGCCATTGGAACGCTCGTCGTCATTTTCACAGTTTTGTATCTTGTTGAAACGAATGTGGATGCAGATGTATCGAGATAACGTAATACATATTTCTCTTAATTTTAAAACAATGAATTACAGTTAATTTTTATTTTAGGGTTTTATAATATTGCGTTTTGTTGTGACTGTTTTCATTGCATTAACCATGGGAAATTTGTTCCTTGGAATGGGTAAAGATGGCTCTAAGACAATTTTCATTTTTGGTTTCTATTACATGGTTATTATCATGTACCTTTACATTCCAATGATGCCCGTGTTATATTCATGTGAGTATTTGTGTTTTATTCTAGTTTAAAACCGGAAATTTATTTCTGCTGTTATTTGCAGTTCCAACTGAGATCCAAATGGTGAAACGTGAGACGTTCAACAAATGGTATCAGATCACGCCGTATTTTATCGCGTTGACCATATCAACAATTCCAATGACACTGATCATGGGAGTCATATTCATTCCGATTGCGTTCGCTCTCATAGACCAACCGATGGAACTGGATCGAATGGCGCAGTTTTACTGCGTGTGCATGCTTACAGCTTTAGTGTCCGAATCGATCGGACTAGTGATATCATCACATATGAATATTGTTGTAAGATAAACACTTAAATTTTTAATTTTAAATCAATCAATATACATTTTTTAGAATTCTATGTTTGTGGGACCAGTGATAGCGGTTCCTATGATGCTCCTCGCCGTCTACGGCATGGGTTACGGCGTGGGAGCACAAGTACCCTTCTTTATGGAAATAATAATGCACTTTAGTTATCTCCGATACGCGCTCGAAGGTCTAATGGCGTCGATGAGTCAAAACCGCGAATTATTACGATGTCCCGAAACCGAAGAACTGTGTTTATTCCGTAATCTAGACAACTTCTCAGTGTTTATCAACGTACCAACCAACAAGTATTGGATCGACGTCGCTGCGCTTGTCGGAATGTTTATTTTCTTCCGCTGTGTGTGTTTCTACCTGCTGCAGCAACGTCTCCGGCCTAGCAAAGCATTCAGAACATTGAAATTCGTTATCAAGACCGTCCTCAATCAGTTGAGCGAATGACCTGCGACGCGTTTGTTTATTGTTGATCAGTATGTAGGATCTATGTTACTTATTTCTTATTTTATATATAACGCCCATTTGTGTGTTATATTTATTACCATGTACAGATTTAAACGGCCCTGTGGTCGATGGTGGTATTTTACCAAATTGAATTCACCAAAATTACTTCATATGTATACTATTTTTTATAAATTCACTTTTTTATCTACTTAATGATTGTAATAAAAAAAGAATATAAACACAGTATCATCTAATAGTTGACTTGTTGGCGGAAATGTGGCTGGAATTTGTTTGCTTTGACACCCAGATGCATAGTCATCTTTGAATGCATTCTCTTCATGTAGTGAATATCCCTGGCTCTCCTGAGAATAAAAAATAATACAATTTTTATATTTTACACAAGATAATTAAGAAATTAATTATTTTATACCTTGCTGAAGCTTCCTGCTGTGCTGGTGACCATCCCAAAGCCCTGTATGTAGCCAAAACTTTATGCAGCTTCTTGTGACCCTTATCAACCACTACAACAGCTCTATTTGGATCAATACTCTGCTTATAATATCTCATTAGACTTCTGTGCCCAATCACAGCCCCAGAAGGCAGCACAAGTTGATATTCATTGCCTTCTAGCTCAGGTACTTCCACCTCAGCATCAGCATTCACTCCATCTTCATTAGCATCAGGATATGAAGCAGAATAATCATAGAAATCAGCATATTCTGCCAGTGCAATACCATCATGCAACATTTTGCAGTGTCCTTTATCAAGCATGTGTTGCCTAGCTGCCTCTGCAGTATGATAAGTCTTTCCTTTCTCATTGCACCACAAACACATGAAACCCTGTTCAACCTTCTGTGCCAAATACTCAATCAATCCTTTCACATCCACACAGAATTCAATATCAGGCACAAAGAATGTATGTGCTTCAGACATGTGCTGCAGATTTTTCACTAGATTTCTACTGTGATGCTGGCAGAATAAACAGTTTGTAATGTCTACCTCAGCATCATCCAATTCCCACTCATCAGAATCAACTTCTTCTGACTCACAGGACATTGCATCTTCTACATCTACACCAACAGGAGCAGGAATCTTTTTAGGCGCATCATTAATTATTGGTGTAGTTGGTATGCTTTCCACATAAAACTCTTCATTATCTTTATGTTTCTTAGAGTTCAAGTGGTTGTCATATGCTTTTTCATTGGTAAAAGACTTCCTACAGAACTTACAATATCTAGACTTATCTTGATTCTGCTCGGCATCACTAGCTTTCTGGGTGAGTACACGTCGTTGGAACTCTTCGGAAGTCACAGGAGGTAAATCAGCAACTTTTCTCTTCAAATTGTAGCGGTGCCAGTCCGTCTTGTAATGAAGTCGTTGTATTTCACCATCTTTGAATGCCACGCGACAGCAGATGCACGTAAAGTCTGAGAGAGGTTTTTCGGTCATTTTAACACGATTTTCTTCAGTAATTTACGCGTATTCCAGTAATTACGACTATTACATGAGTGATGGAACACGTTTTGTTTTCGAAATGTGACTTAACCTACAGCGCATATCTGCGACCTTCAGCAATTTTAGTTGCAAATTTTGCCGGTGAGGGAGCAGCACCTTACGGGCCATCATTTTTTAAGTTTCAATTTAAACAAAAAACAAATCAAGAAACGTAAACAATTCGTCGAGTTTTATCTCTTCACCTCTCCTTCATTAACCAATCCACATACATATCTACAACATTCAACTATTTTAGTTTAAAATTTTGCCAGTGAGGGAGCAGCACCTTCCGGGCCATAATTTTTTCAACTTTCAAGTAAAGCAAGACACAAAACAACAAACGTAAACCATTCGTCCAGTTTAATCTCAACGCGCCTCCTTTATTTTATGACCCACCCAAAAATCCACCTTAAACTCTATAGAATTTTTACTTTATACTTGGATGAGATAGATTCACATTAAAAATGTAATTTACGAGCGTGTGAATTCAATTAATTCCGTAACACACCTAAAAATATATTGATCAATAAATTTAATATAAAACAAATCATTATGAGATTATTTATTAATAGATCCTGTTTATGATTAATTGCGCCATTCGTTCAACAAGTTATCTTTTAAATGATTTACGTACGTATAAAATACTTGCGATGATAATAATCATTTGTATTACCATTATTGAAAACATTACAATCATAATTCTGTAGATCATGATCGCACGCGGAATCAAAGAACTGATTATCACGATCGTGTGCTTTTATTTTTTATTGCTCGTTTGTTATTTGCGATGATTATTACTATTAGTACTGTGTTGTGTTGAGAACTTGTCTAAATCATCGGTTTGTCGGTGTTTTGCGCTTGAGAATAGATCGATAAATGATTAATCAAGGACGAACTAATTCGAGTGTGTTTTGTGCACATCGCACACCTTACGCATTTCCTACAAATCTCCGCAGATTTATGTAATTCGCAATTAATGGCGTTATTAGCATCTTAATGCATTTGTACAACCTCACATCATCTTTAAACTAATTATCTGCAGTTATACAACTGTACTTTGCGTATTCATTAAGATTTTTATATAGAAACAATAAAAATCAGTGTGAAGTATGAAGTGTGAGATGAGTAAACATTTAGAGAGTCGAATGTCAGCCGGACACAATCGACAGTTATTATTGCATATTTGCAGGAATGTGTAATGTAAATATTTATTCTATTTTAAGACGAAAAATAAAGAAAAAGAAGTAATACGCAATTAGACATACGCATGGCTTACATTAAACTCAAATTAAACTTTATATATTATATTTTATATATTTTGTTGAAAAAATTAAATTTTTATACTTTTACGACAAAAATTTGATTGTTTTTGTCTGCTTATCATCGCATAAATTAAAATTAGTTATAATTTGCTAATTTGTTGAGATTCCAACAACGTGCTGATTAAATAATGAATTATTTTCAATTAAAACACATGTTATTTGCACTTAATCGAAGTCATGAATGTAAAGTGTAAATTCGTGACTGAATCTAATGTATTTACAATATTGTATGGAATAACAATTAAAGAACATATGTGGCATAATGAATTTACACACGCGATCTCAACTCATCGTACAAATGAATAATGAATAATAACAAAATGCAAAACACTTGTTTCATATGCAACTTCCGGGTATAAAAAGAGCAAATGCAGATAATTCAAACGCAAGCATGCGCAGCACGTAGGTCAGTTTCTAACCACAATTAATTTCAACACTTATTTCGTATTATTTCACGCGCTTCAACTTGTTTTGACTGCTTTTTGTATTTGATTAATCACAATAATTAATTATACACTTATAATGTCTAGCGTTACCAATTAGCCAAATTAAGTGGATTCACGTTGCACACCTGGAAGCAAACTCCCAGTATATCCAGTATTCAAATATTTATTGTAATTTATGTGTAATTAAAAACTCTCACACATCGCATTCAAGTGGAATCTTCTTAAAGTGCTCGGCAAACTTAACTCCCCCACTATTTATTATAATAATGCTTATTTATTTTCATTATTTCATTATTTCATTATTAATTTTTCCTGCACGTCAGTGAAAGGCTCTGATATTGCATAATATTAATGATATTAGATATAATTAACGAAAGATGAGTGGATCTCGAGTGTGGCCATGAATTCGGACTGCAAATCTTCTGCGCGTCTGCCGCGTTTTTTTTCCATCTAACGATTTAAATATGAATAGAAATAAACAAATACAGATAGCATCTAAATATTGATTCGTGTGTCATTCGTGAAGTAATTTATCTAATGATATTATTTTGATTCTGAACGCAAAAAATAATTACGTAGATTAAAACGCGTTAAACTCTTCCTCGTTGTTGTTACGTTTTGTTGTTTTGCGATGTTTTGTTTTTGAAGCATTGATATTTATTGGATAGACACGATTCTACGATTCCGAGCAGATCTGAAACATTATAATCAACAATAACGAGATAATAATTAGCGATGTTTATTACTAACGGCAAAACGAAAACAATCAGCGTACACGTTTCTTTCCTGGGTGATTGGGTGAGGTTTCGAGCATTTACTCACGAGCGCAAAACTAATGCGAGCGCGCCGGCCACCGCAGGACACCATCGACATCGACGCGATCATATAAAAGGCTACGATTAGCGCTCCTCGGCCACCATTTGCGATAAGCCGGTTCAACTCGTAATAACTGCCACTAGTGTCCATATATACTTAGAAATATTAATGGTGTACGATATGTTGTTGCTGCTCGTCGCGGCGGTCTTCACCAGCAGGACTGCCTTTGCGTTGCAGAATCCCTATTGTTCACTCACGTGCGACTTTGGTGGCGGGCGGAGTTATTTTCACACTGTGTGCGAACGTGAAAAATTCGTAAGAAAAGCGGAAAATGTTTAAAATTAAGTGTGCAGAGTGATGTTGAATGCGGAATTGTTTTAGAAATGTGGACCGGGGCCGAAATGTGGGCCGGATTTCAAAGAGGTTGAGATGACTGATGCTTTGAGGCAGTATATCCTGGATTTACACAATGAATTGAGGAACAACGTTGCGGCTGGGAATGAAACTCGAGGTGGAAGACAACCACAAGCAAAGAAAATGATGACTATGGTAAATAAAAATAAAAATATTACACTTTATGGTTAAAAATAGACATTTTATCAAAATTAAACAAGAAATTTATTTTCTCTTCTTATTAAAAGCTGATAAAATATTTTTTTTAAGTAAATTCAATCACAAAGTTGTATTTTTTGCTAAATTTGAACAAAAATGTGATTTTCTGTTTTATTTTCCAAAATAATGGCACAAACAAATCATTAAACTGTTGTTTTATACTTTTTTATAGAAATACAGCAAAGAATTAGAATACATCGCTCAATGTTGGGCAAATAACTGCCAAGGCAACCCTTTGATTCATGATGTATGCAGAGCGACCAGTAAGTGTTAACACACGTTGACAAATATTTGTTGTTATTTCTAACCGAGTCTAATTCTTCTTCAAGAACAACACGAACATATCGGCCAAAATCTCGGTTTTCTCAACAGCACACACGCTTACAAGAACATCAAGGATGCGATGCGACAATTGGTAATGAATTGGTATGACGAAGTGGCACTGTTCCGACGCGAATGGGTACACGACACGCAAGACAGGTAATAAACTTGTTTGCATATCATTAACGCTTGACTCCTCAAACATCGCCATTACGCTGCTCATCTCTTAATGTAAATTAAACGCGTCTAACAGTTTTGTGCAAAAAACGCGCTTGAAAAATGTGCGCATTTATTATAAACCTCGTCGTAAATTATAGCCAAACGAGATGCTTATCGCCAACTTCAAAAAGGATAATAAATTCAGCCATAGAAAGCGAGAAACACCAAAAATCTACTTTAACTACACCATAAAGTGGTAGACTTGTTCCATGTTCTGAGCACACCATCAAAACAAACCTATATTTTATCGTTTTTTTACCAACATTCTGATTTATAAAAAGAAACATCCTGGGAATGTGGTTATCTTCAAACGTATGAAGTTAAATCGATTGGGAATGTGATTAAACTTTATTTCCAGAGGTCCGAACGTTAAAGTCGGCCATTACACGCAAATGATCTGGGCTGATACGGATACCCTCGGATGTGCTGTGGCTTCTTACACGTCGCCAAACCCACGATCAGCCATTAAACAGGAACCCACCAAACAGTTCCATCCAGTTTACGGCGAGATTATCATTCTGCCAGCGAAGATCAACAAGAAATGGCATCATCTTCTTCTTGTGTGCAACTATTCGCCTGGTGGTAATTACCTGGGCGCGCCATTGTATGACCAGGGACTGCCATGCTCCGGATGCCCAAAAGATAAACCATGCTCGAGATATTCGTCCATGTGTGGAGATCGCTCAGATGTGCGGACAACCTATGATAACTTCACGCCGTTCTTCCGATTCTGAAGATTAATTTAGCTGCGTATCAAGTATTATATCGAGATTAATACCGAGTATTGATTGGATTGTAAAAACTTATTTAAAGTTAAATGTTAGACATGATAGGTGTCTGCAAATAAAACCTGTTTATGTATATAAACAATATGCACACTTACATCATATGGCATCGCTATGGATGATTTTTTTTCATTTTTCTAAAGTACATCACAAACAAGCCTTGATATTTAGGCGTGTCATTAATTTACACGTATTAGATACACTTTTTATACGCATTTACGATTTTATTCCTGATTTCCCATTGAAAACCAAACAATTTATACAAAATGATCGTTCAATGACATTGACAGGAACCAAAGGGATGGGTTTCTTTGGATTACCCGTGAAAATATGTTCTGTTGTTGATACTCTTCACCTGAGACTTCTCATCTAACCGTAGGATTCTTTTATTTCCACATGTTTCTTTAAATATTAAAAATATTATTAAATATCTATATATCATATATTTAAATAGTATGTAATTGCAATCGATAAGTATTATGAAATTTATATGTAATCGCTTAATTAACGAGTTATAGATACATAATATATTCGTCCAAATAAATAGAAACGACAACCCATGATACAATAATTCTTCCGTAACATTAACTACAATATGTATTGCAGACGAATCGTTATTAGATCGGTACCTTAGTATTCAAACAAATTTCTTGATGTAGGTAATATGCTTATCGTTAGTCGTCTATCTATTTGTTGCCTTAAGTTTTACTTGTTTTATACAACTAACACACCAACTTGTACGTAAATCAATCAATCGTTACTAGATATACTTACGCACGACTAACTTAAGCTGGCTTTGATTCGTTCGCGCGTTCGAGTGAATGAACAAGTTGCAAAAATAAAAATGAACAAAACTGACCGCCGGATTAGCTGACGAACTCGATTAGGACTAGTGCTTACAGCTAGACATACACACACACACAGCACTTTTGCATGCGATCCATATTCTACTTGAAAGTTAGCCCTATACAAGTCAATTTGTTGCTATTGCTCCAACAAGCTGAAGGTGGAGAGATGATCCTAAAACTTAACACGTAAAGTGCATACATGGTTGTTAATAAAAATCAGACTGGATCGAGAAATGTGAGTACGGGCACTTTGCGTGTCAAGAAGGCGGTGACAAAACGGTGATATCATGGTATAAAAACGGCATTACGGTTATAACAATAGCAAAAATTTACCACTTGGACTCGGCAAAAAATCGTAAATCAAATCATTAGTAATAAAACATTGAATTTGTGACAAACCCAAGTAGAAACGGTCCGCGCGTAAATCGTTAAATCAAAAATCAAATCATTTCAAGACTGCGTTAGCATTGACACGAATGTTAAGGTATCAAGATGTCAATAGATATATGAATGTAATCCGCATATTCGTAACTTTTCAGTCTATATTATATGTATGCCAGTGATCAGTGTTTGCTCGGCGCACAAACACGATTCGCTCGCTCGGTTCACACTACGATAACATTTCGTTCCAATTGTTCGAATTGTCGTTATTCGATGAATTGCTGCTCGACGACGAAGACACTGGAAACAGAACGGCATTTGGTCTAGCTTTCGGTGTGTTTATGTCAGAAGTACATACGTAATCCATTATTACAAAATAGACGATTACAATATAAACTTAGGTACATTAGTCGAAACTACAATTCGTGTGTAGAGTATAATATTTTAAGTATATAAAAAAAATTTCTGTCGCATGTCGCTTGCGATTAGCAGATTTTTTGTTTTGTTTGTTGCCCTCTCGCTGCATCGCCGTTGACAAAGCATTAATTTCAACGTTAGCGTGTTTATGTATTTTTTCAACCAAATCGATTTGCGCAAATCGATTTCTCCCAGCCCAAATGCCACAAACTGAATATGATTAGTTGTTGGTTCGGTTTGGAAATGCGGGAGGTGAGTATATCACAATGTATCGTATTCGTGACGTTAATCGCAGCGTATGTACGTATAGCTATTGTAGTAGTAAATCCGAACGTATCATGACAACGGGCGTCGATTGCCGCGGCGCCGCTTCGGCCGCTTGCGCTCCGGCGCGTTGCCGCGGTATACCGAGGAGGGTGTTTGAACAACGTTATTACCTGATGATGACTTCGGCACGTACTCCTTCGGCCCCCACACGCGAATTGTGCAATCGTCGGACACCGAGACCAGCATGTGCGGATACACGGGGTTCCAGGCGACGCAGTTCACGGTGCGCGTGTGCCCGCTGAGCGTCGCCAGCGGCAACTCATGTCTTATGTGCCAAATGTACACCTGTAATCCACACATTTTCATAAGAATAAAACCTGCCAACACTTCAGGAATAATCCTACCTGATTATCTTCGCTACCGCTGGCGATAAAGTCTTGATTAGCGCCGCCAAACGTCGAATAGATCGTAAAGTGGCCTTGCGTAACGCCCTGGAAACGACGCACGAGACACTTATCTTTGAGATCCCAGAGATGAACACCTTGTGTGGCGACGTTCACCAGCGCCAAGCGATCGTTCTTGTCCACGGTGAACGTCATTATTGGATGGTCTTCTTGTAAACTATAAGACACGCTTCATATTTGTATCATAACACAGTTTTTACAAATAACTTACATATGCTGATCGCTTGGCTCCTCTAAAACATAACTCCTAATCCTATGATGTGTGTCGGACGCTAAAACCGTCTTACCATCGTTTCTACACCACAAACCGTTCACTCTTACGCATTCCATCGTGTCGAGCACGTTCCCCTCGAGATCGCACTGGTAAAAATGGCCGCGAATTCCGCCAACCTAAATATTTCAAGCTTAATATATCATCAAATTAATATGCGTGTTGTTTTACCACAAATTTATTGCCATCTTTATGCCATGCGCAGCAAGTAAGCACGTCTTCCTGCGACTGTGTCACCTTTAACGGTTTCTCACTCTCGGTGTTCCACAACCACACATCGGGACTCTCTTCTGATCCGCACACCAATAGATATTTCGAGTCGGGGCTCCATGAAAGGAACGCCGCGCCTAAAACAATCGATAAACAATCCACTACAATGAAAATCCGACATACCGTAAGTGTGTCCGTCCAGAGTGCTCTTGAGCGTAAGGCTGCACGTGTCTGGATGTACGTCCCAGATAAAAACATTAGTGTCCTTCGACCCAGTAGCTAAGTGATTGCCATCCGGCGAAAACTGACAGAACCACACCTCGTCGCAATGATCATTGAGAATTTGGACGGTGTGCGTTGGGAACGAGTCCTTCGAGCACGAATGGTCCAAGAGCAACGTGCAGTTATGCAATGCAGGGCCTTGTGTGGTGTTATGATGTTGGCAGCGCAGCGTTTGCAGTTCAAGCGCCTGATTGAGCAGAACGTGGAGGCGCGATGGTGGTAGCATTATATTTGCGGGCAAAAAAGTTTGCAGTTTATCCATCAGGGTATTGCGCGACTTTTCACCTTTCCCTTCCCTGAAATTAACGCGCATTTAAATTTGCAACGCACATAAAATATCAAACTATTACCAGTTTGTTCTAGCTAATAGTTCTTCTGTATTGGAACACATCATGAAACTTGAGAGTTGATGAACACGTGCGGTATTATGTTGTAAAGGCGTTAACTCGTTCCGGAGAACGTGGAGCGCATCAAGCACTCTGCCGTCCTCTAAATATTCGAGATATTTTTGTTCCAGGAGTAGAAATTTCATTTCCTAGAAAGAATAACACTAAAATTAACACAATTGTGCATATTTATCACACGGTATGTTCACGTTTGTAAATATTATTGCAGAACTTAAATTGCGTCTATCTCACAGACAATGTTATTACATTTACACATATATGTAGAAAGTGCACACATCATGTGTAGAAGTGTAAATATCACCTGAATTAAAAGAAGGTCAACATTTAATGTTGCAATTATCAAGATTAATGATGTTTTAAATTGAGTTTCTGTTACAGAAACAATTCCAAGTATCTTTTATATATCTTTTTCTGTTTTGTTGTATTTACTAAGTTAACTTACAACCATATTGTGTGATTGTCCTAGCAAGCCTTTCAGTTCCTGCAAGTCATGATCAGCCTTACTCCAGTCTCCATCCATGATGTGTTTCCTGAACTCAGCTGCAGCTGGATGATCCAATCGACAGCCAGACTCAGCCATCAGAGAATCAGCTGTGTGACTAAAGAATAACAAAAATGATTACTGTATTCATGTTTTGCATGTGAGCTAGGCAGGAGTGTTACCTGAGCCCCTCATTCTTCAAATATTGCCCAATCAGTCTAATAATATCCTGATTTGTTTGGCTGAGTGTCAGAGCACTGCCACTGTTGGATGAGGAAGTGCTGTTACTCTTGTCAATGGACTCATGACGATGTCCGTTCTCCGAGGAGCCATTGCTGGTGGAGGCCCCGTTTTGCACACAGCCGTTGCTCGTCATTGTCTCCTCGCGGGCGGCGCGCTCGGCGCTGGCAGGAGACGAATCGTGCGCGGAACTGCTACTGTCTATGCGGGACTTCTTGCGAGGCGGAGAACCACCTTCGCCCCCCTCGTAAAATCCAGCAGAGGCCAGAATTATTTTTGAACCGCACTTTGCGCACCAATTGTGCGATATTGCACACGGCGTAAACAACGGAAGAAAGAAATAAAAATAAAACAAACGCGCGTGTGTGCGTGTGCGACAGGAGACGCGAGTTGCGCCAGTGCGATGGCAAGTCGCGACGAGGAAAACAAAAATGCGTTTATTACGTCACGAATGTACAAAGCCCCAAAATGTGTGGAGCGTCTCTCAATGGCGTACGTCGACGCTATTCGAGTATCGACGGCGAACGCATCGCGATTGTTTTTCGATGTGCGCTGCGGCGTAGGTGGTGCGATGGCCCTGATGGCCGAGGTTCGCGATGCTCGGCTATAGATCGGCCAGCGCTAGCGCACTCAACGCACTCAACAACAAAGATCAGCTGAAGCTAGGGAACAGCTGTGCGATTGACCTCGGAAACCTTTTGTTTCCTCGCTTTCCTACAAGCACTGTCTCGTCTGATGCGTACGCGCTTCTGCGCAGACGGCGCACACGATCAAAACAACTCCGCAGGAACGAAAATCCTGCAGCACAATTCCAACGCCACAATGACGTTTACCCACCTTAACTTTATCTATTATACACTAGGGGACTTTAAGTAATTTACATAAATTTTATCAACTACTTTAAACCATTTTTTAAAAACTAAAACACAAAGATAAAGTAATATAAATCCAATTTCATTTATTATCATACACAGTTTCTGCAAATTGTATTAAATGACGCTTACTTGTACTATACGCAACCCAATATACACCACAAGCATGCCCACCATACAAACATACCATCGTGTGGATTCAAGTGGCGTCAGTTGACTCTCGTAATCACAATGTACACAATTCTCATAAATTTAGTTACACGCGTTGGTGCAAGTGCGGATAGATGTGGGATTATCTAGGATAAACGAGCAGACGACCGCGTGTTACTTCCTTGCATTTAACAAGACAAATAACTGCATTACAACTGCAGTTTCAGTGTTCCAATTTCGTGGTTCCGGTAACTTTCCTTTACACGCATAAGAAATGCCTTAAATTAGGAATTAATTATGATAACACCACTGATAACAGCCGTTGTTTAAAGTACCAGCTTAGAAATGGTGTTTTATTTAAAATAATTACATCATGAACTGAAAAATAATCCAATTGGATTTTCTGAGAAACCCTTATCACAAAAGTCATCACAAGTACAAAAACTGAACCAAAATGAAGATGCAACTAAACAAGCTGTTTCCCACCAGATCAACATTGATTGTGTTCTTCTTATATATTATTTTATTTTCCATTCATGGTAAGTACAATAGATTGCATATATTGCAGAAGTATTACATTGGCATTACTTCATAAGGATGTCATGTCCTTGAATGATGATGATTACTACTAATTTTCTGCTTTGTTGCAGCTATTTTAGTCACCTCCACTCAGACATCTAGCAATAAATATGAGTACAACGTGGTTACAGTTGTATTACTTACGGAATTTTTGAAATTGATTATTTCTACTGCACTCTATTGCAAGGAGTAAGTAAAAACTGTTTTCAAGTAGTTTTATTACATTTTACTATGAATTTTACTCAACAAAAGTACAAAAATCATAAATATTGACATGTTTAAGTTAGAAAACATTTTGATTTTGTTTTTATTATGAAATAATCGCGTTGTTTAGATCATATTACAATAATTGTTTAACAAACCTGTTTGTTTCTAATTGCAGTGAATCACCGATCACATTATACAAAGACACGATCAAGCACCGCAACGTGCTTGCCTTGTACTTAATCCCCGCTTTCTTGTACTGCCTGTACAACAATTTATCGTTCGAAAACCTGCGCTCCTTTGACCCCACTACGTACAACCTCCTGCTGCAGTTCCGTATCTTTATGACTGCGATACTTTTCCAACTTATTTTCAAAAGCACCTCAGCGGAAAACAATGGCTGTCCCTCGTCGTACTTACCGCTGGATGCATGCTGAAACAAGTCTCTTTCGGCGACGACACTTTGAATAACAAATCCTCATCGGGAAAAATGTATGGTTTGGACTTATTCAGTATCAGCACCGTATTTCTACTCGTGCAAATGGGCTGTTCATGCTTAGCAGGCGTCTATAATGAGTATTTGTTGAAGAATGACGGCGCATCCATTAATATGTTTGTGCAGAATGTCTTTATGTATTTAGACTCAATAGTTTGCAATTTGATAATGCTACTTATAAACGGTACTATCTGGGATGCATTTACAAGTGAAAGTTTATCAGTGATATTTCAGTATAAAGTTTTGCTTATGATGCTTAATAATGCCACAGTCGGAATTATAACAAGTTTCTTTTTGAAACAATTGAATAGTATTGTTAAGACGTTCGCGAGCGCGCTGGAGCTAGTACTCACAGCCGTGTTGTCTTATTTTATTTTCGATATTCCTATTTACTTGAATACGGTATTATCGATTGTGACGGTGATGTTGGCGATGTATTTGTACACGCAAAATCCGGTGAAAGGGCAGGAAGTTATTGTAGGCAAACGGGATTATCGTGGCGAGGAGGATGAAGTATTGTTGATGGACGAAGTTATCGCCAAAAAATGATAAATGTATTCGTACGTTTGTGATATGAACTTAAACCAGTATAATTTATGTTAATAAATATTAATATATGCAGTATGTAATAAAATTTTTATTGTTTTTTCTTTGATAAAAAATATAAAACAAGTTCTAGTAATTAAAGTTTGAAGAGTTTGCACGCAACCGAACATACATGATTTTCTTTGCTTATATAACGCGATTTTTTTATATTTATTTTAAATAATAACATACTATAATACGTTAATTTAACAGTTATTAATAATTTATGATTTATAGCATTGAGTAAGAGTATGTAAAATTATTTAATACTTTTGAAAGCAAATATTACGCATTTTAAATTTCTTAACTGTCATTTTCACGTGCTTCAGATTAGGCAACCCAAAACTTTCACGCAAATGTCTGTCAAAAAGGTGTCAACGCCGCGTTTGCGGATTTGCGCTTCACTTCGGCTGGTTCAGGTTTTCTTCAGTTCGCGGAGTGTTGCGAAACGTTTTAAGTGCAATTTTGAGTCAATGCGTGCGTGCCGTAAATGAAAACGAGAAAAATGGCTGAGCGTTTCTCCGCGGACGTGTGGAAGAACTGGGAGAAGACTGGCAAAACTGAATTGTAAGTAACCCGCCATAATGCGAACCTCAAACCAAAACTCTCAAATTACCCCATAATCACTTAAATAAACTCGCAAACATGTACATTTTATTGCATTCCTCACTATCGCATTACAAGTTCCGTTTATTTTAACTCTTTGAAAACTAATTTACGCTTAAATACGGTTGCAATCGTAAACAACCTTGTCCGCGCATCATAACCTCACATCCAATTGCAAGAATGCATCTTAAAAAAGTTTCCAAACTTTTTCAGCATGAAAGTATGTGCGCAAGAGGCGAAGGACAGCAGCAAATCACCACTATTAGACACATCTGGCAATACGACGCCGATGTTCTACCACATCAACGAGTTGATCAGCCAGTGTGTGCAGGGTGTGATTAAACATGATCTTGTTGTTAACACACTACAAGAACTTGTTTCATTACACAAGGATGTGCCAGCCATTATTCTTGATGTGCTCAATATTGTTGATGCTGAAACATCAGATGCTGGCAGTGGTGATGGCACAAAGACAAGGAATAATTTTTGCCAGCTTGTTAAAGATTGTGATAAGGTACTCTCTGATAAACTGCTGAAGGAAAGGCTAGAGATTGACACACTTCAGGAGGTCGGTGTTTTGAAAAACCGCAGCTTTTATACGAAGTTTATCAAAGTGAAGACCAAATTATAGTGAGTATTAAATTAAAATCTTAAAAAACATTTTTTTTTTTAGTTTTTGTAAGCTATCAATTAGTTACAGAACTTACAACATCTAGAAATAGTTATATTTTGTAGTTTTGCACATAGTTTAACACAAACTATTTAAGTTAACAGTTTGTTTCATTTATTGTGCATAGAAAAACAGCATTTAAAAGACTACTTTTATTATTAATGAATTAATTTAAGTTTTGATGAATGCAAACATTCTTTTACATGAATAATCTTTGTGTTTCAGTTATAAACAAAGAAAGTTCAATTTATTCCGTGAGGAGAGTGAAGGATTCGCCAAATTAATCACCGAACTAAATCAAGAGTTTGGCAATAACGTGGATGATGATCGTCTCCTTGATATTGTACAATCACTTATAGGCTGCTTCAACCTGGACCCCAACAGAGTGTTAGACATAATTCTTGAAAGTTTTGAAAATAAACCTCAGGATGCTCGGCTGTTTATTCCGCTGATAAAGAACTACATGAACGACGCCAAAACCATCAGCGAAGTACTCGGTTCCAAGTTCACATTGAACAAGAACAACGAGACGATTCCACGATCTCTGTATATTTTAACCGCTCACCTGTTACAACATCAAATTATTACTTTGGACGACATTTATATTTGGGTAAGTGTAATATAAGCTGCCTTCTGAGTAGGCAACCAAGTTGACAAATTATTTTTAATTTAGTTAATACCAGATGATAAATCGATGTCAAAAGATTGGGACAAAGAGATGAAGGACGCCAAAGAGTACGTGCGGAAACTGTCGATTATATCCCTCAATAAAGACAAAGAAGATCCACCCGAGGAGCGCGAAAACCCAATGGAGAAATATGCGATTAATCAGAAGTTGAATTTATGCGAAGCTTTGATTCACGTCGGTGATTGGACGACTGCGCAAGCACTCATCAATCGCTTGCCTGAAAATTACGTCGTTTCGTTTCAACCCATCGCTCTGGCAATTTGCAGTTTACTGCACACTGTTATCGAACCGGTATATCGTACAAATTTCCGCATTGGAAAGATTCGTGGCAAACCTTTACCTCCACACAATAATTCTTTAGCGCCAAAGCAAGCGACGACATTTCTAGAACTTCGAAATGACGCGATACCAATGCTTCTCGTATTGGGACCATCACTTCATTTCGATCCCATTTTATTGTACAAAATAATTCGGTTATCTAAACTAGCCCTCGCCGAAGACGGCATTGACGCGTCCAAAACTGCACCTGAACACGACAGTCTCTATTTTGATATTGTTTCATTACTGGACGTGTCCATTTTACCATCTTTGTCATTTCTTGATTGTAATTGTTCGATTGCTGAGGAGATTTGGAGTCTGCTGAAACTCTACTCATACCAAACACGTTATTCGCTCTACGGACGGTGGAAGAATGAAACTTACCTGATTTATCCGGAGTTGATGCGGCGACGAGGCGATGCCGAGAAGAAAATCAAGAATATTATGAAGCGCGTCAGTAAAGAGAACATTAAACCTGCTGGGAGGATAATTGGTAAACTTACCCATTGCTCTCCGGGTTTTCTGTTCGATTATGTCCTGGTGCAGATACAAGTGTATGATAACTTGATTCATCCGGTGGTTGATTCGTTAAAATACCTCACGAATTTGTCTTATGATGTGTTGGGTTTTTGTATTGTCGAGACACTTGCGAATGCAGATAAAAAGCGTGTCAAGCATGATAGCACATCGATTTCGGGTTGGTTGCAAAGTTTGAGCTCGTTTTGCGGCACGGTGTTTAAAAAGTACAATATCGAACTGACTGGTTTACTGCAATTTGTGGCGAATCAACTTAAGGCGCAGAAAAGTTTAGATCTCTTGATACTTAAGGAGATTGTGCAGAAGATGGCTGGGATTGACACTGCGGAAGACTTGACGACGGACCAGCTGAATGCGTTGTCTGGTGGTGAACTACTTAAGATTGAAGTGAGTTTTATTCTTTTTAATATAGGTTTTGTATGTTCATTTCTAGGCAACGAAACTAATTAGTCATGTTGCTTAGTAATGCGTTTTATTAATTTAAATAATCTTTGGTTTTCTTGTGTTTAGGCGGGATATTTCAGCCAAGTTCGCAATATGAAGAAATCATCACTGCGTTTAAAAGAAGCAATGGCGGATCATGACATGGCTGTAGCTCTATGTCTTTTAATCGCCCAGCAGAAGTACTGTATAGTTTACAAAGAGACTCAACATAGTCACTTGAAACTTGTCGGTAAACTATTTGATCAGTGCCAGGATACATTAGTGCAGTTTGGTAATTTTCTTGCAAGTACATTGTCCGTGGACGAGTACGTTAACAAACTGCCATCAGTTCAGTCCATGTTGCTAGAGTATCATATACCTAACGAAGTAGCATTTTTCCTCGCGCGGCCAATGTTTAACCACGCCATTAATATCAAATATGACCAGTTGCGGAAAGCGGACGCTAATTACAAGAAAATGGCGACCGCTGTCAAACACCAGAAGTACTATGAAGCCGTGACGGAGGTAATGTCGCCAGTACAAAAGTCTCTTCTACCACTACACCAGGCGAAAGTGTGGGATGAAGTGACACCGCAGTTCCTCGCTACTTTCTGGTCACTGACGATGTATGATCTTTTCGTGCCCGATGAGACTTACCAACAGGCGGTTAATAAGATAAAACAGTTGTCGCTAAATGTGTCTGAACCCAATTCTAGCAAAGGGAAAAGGAGTGCGAGCGGTATCAGACTTTGATTGAGAAACTGCAAGATGAGAAGCGCAAGCAGCAGGAACATGTGGAGAAGGTGATGTATCGTTTGCGTCAGGAGAAAGACACGTGGTTTGTTGCAAAATATGCAAAGAATGATACGATCACAAGATTCCTGCAGTTATGTATTTTTCCTCGCTGTACATACACAGCGATTGATGCGGTTTTCTGCGCCAAGTTTTTAAATATTATTCATTCGTTGAAGACTGCTAACTTCTCTACCGTGCTATGTTATGATAGGGTAAGTTATAATCATGCTATTAATTTGTTTGGTGGGTTAATTGAATACTTTTTCTGTTTGTATCATAGTTATTTTGTGATGTCACATATTCAATCACATCTTGCACGGAAAACGAAGCAATGCGCTATGGTCGTTTTATTCTATCAATGTTGGAGATTTTAATGCGCTGGCACAAGTCAAAAGACATCTTTGACAAGGAATGTGCTGATTACCCGGGCTTTGTTACAAAATTCCGCGGTGCGGCTCAGCAGACCGACAGCGTCGATCAAGTCGGCTACGAGAACTTCCGACACGTGTTCAACAAGTGGCACTTTAAGCTCACAAAAGCGCTGCTCGTCTGCCTCGACTCCAAGGACTACGTGCAGATTCGCAATGCGCTCATTGTACTTATCAAAATCATTCCCTTCTTTCCGGTGCTAGTAAAACTCTGCCACATTATCGAGAAAAAGATTGAGAAACTGGCCGAGGAGGAGAAGAATACGCGCCAAGATTTGTTCACGCTGGCGATTAGCTATGTTGGTCAGTTGAAGCATAAGATTGCGTCCGGGAACGTGATGCATGAAAGCGAGTTTCACATCATTCCTGAGAAGGAAAAAACCGAGAAACCGGCCAAATCTGAAGGAAAAGCCGACGTTAAACAAAATGGTGATTCTAATAACAAGGCGGATAAGGAGGTGAAGGATAAAGAGAAGAAAGAAAAGCGGCAAGCAAGTGAAGAGTCAAGAAAGTCACAGTATTCTTCTCAGGAAAATTTGTACGAATTTTAAATTTTAATTGAATATTCTTTCTTATAATAACTTTTATTTCTTGTTTAGAGAAATGGATAAAACAACTGACAAAGACCGCCTTGTAAAGGAAGAGTCTAGAGAAAAACTTAATGCGAGAAAGGAAGAAAAACGGGAGGAGACTGAACGTGATCGTGATCGAGAGAGAGAAAAACGTAGGGAACGAAAGGAAGAAAAGTCAGCAGCTAAAGAAGAACGGCAATATCGAGTAGGTTTTTTTTTTGACTTTATATTGAATGTGTCGTACTTAATTTGAATTCAACTAGGAGGACCGATATATTGAAATGGTAAGTCCGAAAGAAGATGTTCGTTATTCGACGGATCGAGCTGGCGGCGAGCGGTATTATGAAGAACGCGGGCACTACTACCGAGGCGAGGCAAGGGATGAACGCGAAGTGGCGATAAACAACGGTACAGGATCCAAGCATAGCCAAGATGCCAACGATCCAGATAGAGGTAGATTAAATAAATCTAAAAATTTATTTGTATAGATATTAATGTGTTTATTTTTATGCGAGTAGAAGCAAAACGAAGAAAAATGGATGGTCAATCATCGAAGGTTAGTATCGGAGTAAGATAGCAGACGAGTCGGTCGGTCAGAGTTCAATGCAGACACAGCGGTCAAATGGTCGTCTATTGTCTCTCGCCAGTTGGAGAGAATCGAAGCGCAGCGAAGAGAAGCTTTAAAACTAATAACATAACGATCATAAATCGAATTGAGTAAACGAGACGCAAGGTGCGGTAAGTAGCTGTTACGAGGACGAGGACGCTTCCCGACGCGAATATTTACTAAGTCACCAAATACAAATACAAAGCAGAGTCGAATCAATTCCGTGTAATCAAAAAACAATAGCAAATTATATCACATTAGCGCGCGCTAGACAGACAAGACAGCTCTCGGACGGCGGCAGCGAAAACGCTACGCGCCTGGCTCCTGACCTGACCGAATCCGGCACCCATCATCACACCTAATTTGCCATCCAATGGTTGTCTGCAGAGTTATAAACACGAAGAGCGCAAGGTCCAACAGCAGCAGCAACAACAAGTGGATTATGTCATCGAAAAGGTCGAGAAGAAGGAGCGATCGGCGAAGAATAAGGATAAGCGCGAGAAGATGAGCGATGAGGAGAAGGAGTTGCGAAAGGAGCGAAAATTGGGTCGGAAACGAGTAAGTTGTGAAAATAACACTAATCATATAGTTATTATTAAAACATTTACTTATTAGGATCGAGAGGAAGCACTTCAAGCCGAAATCAAACGCAAGCGGGAAGAAGAGAAAGCGGCAAAATTGGCGACGCATCAAAACGGCGAGATTCTAGAACGAGAAAAATACCACCATTCGTCAAGGGTAAGTAATAGTGTACACACCGCACGGCACAAATATATTTAAATCTTATTCAGTAAAAATGTTCCTCTCAGGAAATGTCACCGTATGCACGTGAACGTGAACGATCCCACGACCGTATGGAACTGCGTGAAAAACAATATCCTTTTTCATAATACTAGAACATTTTTTCTATCTTCTGATTGATATTATTTATTATCCTTAATTAATGTTTACCAGACGAGGCACCGACGGCAAACGAAGGTGATTGAGAAGAGCGCTCATTGGATGATGGACGTGAATCGCGATCATGGGCATGATAATTCTTACTACTTGTACATTTTCGCATTCTTTTAAGTGAAACCACAAGACATTTTTGTTTAAGATGTTTATATATTTTACTGGAAGTATGATATGCGGCGAACGCAACTCGTTTTTCAATAGTTTTTTCGATGTGTACATCTATAACGCATCGTGTTTTGTAATGAAAGTGATAAAATATTTTGTTAATATGAGCCTACACAATATGAATACATAATGCCATTGATTAGACAATAGTGCAATGATGTTATTAGCAACTGCAGCCGGATTGTGGTTGTTCGGGAGGTGTGTCGGCAAGCTGTAAGGCATTCAGATTAACCACCAGACGCGAATTTGATTTGAGTTTGTGCGCAATTGTAAGGAAGACACCTTCAATGTTGTCTTTTTCGTCGTCCAGTTTTGCGGACGTTTCGAATAGTGGTAAACCGTGTGTATCTGCGAATTGTTGCGCTCGTTGTCGGTCGACGGCGGCTTCTTCATCACATTTGTTACCTATGAGTACTTTGATAACATCTTCGGAAGCCTCTTTTTCGACTTCGGCTAACCAATGCTTCAAATTCTCAAAAGTTTTCGGCTTGGTTACGTCGTACACAAATATGACTGCGTTTAGATTTCTATAATAGTGTGAGGTAAGCGCCATGCGATTTTGTTCCATTCCTGCAGTATCCCAGATATTTAACTGCAAAATTCAGGAAAAGTAGTTTAGATCATTTTAAATTTCGCGCGTGTTTTTCTAGAGTATTGTCGTTTCACTCTAAAGTATAGATAAGACACGCGAAGAAACAAATGTACATCCCAGACAACTTACTGTTATTGTTTCACCATCGACTTGCACTTTTTTCACACGTATATCAACACCCACCGTGACTTTCAGATTGTCCCGATATTGACCCTCGCAGAACCGAAACGTGAGCGCCGTTTTGCCAACTCCAGGATCGCCGATTACGATCACTTTGTACTTATTTCCTTCCGACGACATGTTGGACACCGACATAATGCCGTAATGACCTTCACTAACACGTAAGTAATCAGAAACAAACACCTATATACCGCTATATTTTGCGTGCTTGGCATGACTTACCTGCAAGCCGGTGCAACGAAATGTTCAAGATTAAATTCAGATAAATTACACTTTAGCAATTTTACAAATAAAAATACGTCACAGGACGCATGCGTGGAAATTTTAAGTAAAACAATTACACATTATTTATATAATCAATTAATTCATCATTCTTTATTAATATTTAGACTACCTAAACTCATTTGTGCATTTAGGTAGGACTGTTCAATAGTACTCTGTGAATGCTTGAGTACTCTCTCATGGAATTCCTTTAATAGCTGTTTTTGTAAATGATTCTTCAGTGTGATCAGATACTGCACATTCATTGCAGCATATTGCTTTATTTCATCAGATAATGGTCTTCTTCCCCATTCAGACATTTGTTTGAGATCCTAAAATTAACTATTAAGTCTCTGCACAATTTTTAATATGTGAAATTAATTCCTACCATAGCTTCCTTTATTAAAGTCAGTGGGAAATTAAAATAGTATAACAGACATTCAGGTAGAGTCAATTTCTCATCAGAAACCATCTCTGTAGCAACATATGTGTCAAATATATTCATAACTTTGATATGGTATTGATGATGCATGCAGTCCACTAACCCTCTGGAATCATGCACGACTTTAACAATGTCTTCACACTCCAGTATATATTTCAATGCATCTGGAAACTGTTTGCAGTTATATAGAGAGATGTCAAAGATATAAACTTGCTCCCAAGTAGCCAGGACTAATAATTCAATAGGTGCAGCTCTGCCAAAATCAGTACTTAGTATTGTACAAGCAATTGTTTCACAGTTTACTAGATCATCCACAGCTGTATAGTATCGAGCATCCATTGTGGCCATGTAGACATAGCTTTTGTTTAATGCTTTCAATGCATTGTATTTGTTTTGTGGTATCTTGATTACTTTATTTGCTTCTACTTCTACTTTGAGTTGTTCTTCAGATGTATCTGATTGTACATCTTCTAATTCAAATGCTTTGACATTGACTATTTCACTCTCATAGAAATGTTGTGTGGATGGGTCTTTAGTTTGAGTGTGCGGAGTCAAACAATTTCTGACGTTCAGTCTTGAGCTGGTGCTGGACACAAACTGACCCTCTATTACATCACCATTGATTAATTGTATTAATAATTTTTGATTTTTATTAAATTTATAAGACATGTTTATAGAGTAACATAACCAAGCCGCCAAGCCTAGTTTATATGAACGTGGAGAATATAAACAAAGACAGAAATATTCATACTTTGTTACTGGTTGTTCATAAACATTTTGAAACATTTACTTCTGCGAAATGATTTACTGCAGTAGTTACGTTAAGGAATTAAGTTTTAAAAAGTAATTAAGTAAGAAGAAGGTACTGCGCATGCGCAACGCATATTTTTGTAGTCGTTGGGTCTAAAAATATAATATATTTGTTATAAATCAAATATTTTAATGGTGCGAGCACAGTCGTAATATTTAAATTTAAAGAAAGTTTACGAAGTTGACACGGTAGCAGCAGGAGGCGCCGCGTCGCTGCCACCTGCACGAAAACGAAAGAACCGAAGAACAGTTTGTCCTTTCGGTTTCTTTGCGGTTCTTGTGCGTGCGCCGCAGTCGTGAACACGACCGACCGGCGATATGGTGGTGTTAGACGCGCTGCGATCCAAAATTTTCTTCAGCATCTTGATTATTGCAATTGGTAAGTTTGTAATCATAATAATTTTCATCGCATTTACATTGGATTAATTCCCAGCAACGAAACAAACTGAAAAATCTGTTTTTGAACACGTTTCGAGCAAGTTGCGAACCACTTTCAAATTTTCACTTTTCAAAAGATGCATTTTCTTGCCTGAATCGATCGATTGTTGCAAAAGGTGCGTTGTTCTGCGGGTCGGAATGCACTCCGCGTTCGTGCGCGCAAGAATCTTAAGGAGCAAGGTTAACGCATGCAAATGATATGTGTTTGATTAATATCACGCTCACGTCGGTGCGCCGTGGAGCGAAAGCCAACTCAAAACTATTTTAATAATCGCTTCAAAGACAAGATTACCTTTCAGTAATAAAGTTTAAGCCGGTTTAACTTTTAACGTTCGTCATCGGATGCATTCGTTTCTATTTCGTCATCGCTGCGCTCCGGCTGCGATGCAGTTGCAGGAAAACGTTGCGAGATTTCCGGTATTTAAATGTGATTACACAAGTTAAGACTCGCAGCAACTCAAACACTCGTTGAAATTAAAAATTTGAAAGTTGAATTTTGTGTAAAACGATAAATTCACTAATTTAGTAAGTAGTTTTCTCGTGAGACAACTATGCAAATGATGAAATGCAAGATGTCGCGTCCGCCATCTTGGCATTAATAAATAGTCAAATTAATATTTCTGCAAAATGCGAATAAAATCGTTGATTGATTTCGGTCGTCCACAGAAACGCGTTTCTTGTTGGCGCTTCGCTCATTCATTCAATTAAAAATACTTTCTAGAATAACCTCGATTATGGTATGAGCAGCAAAGTCGGCGAACGCGTTGTCGTTGTCGTCGTTTGGGAGCGGGATCGTCTCGAAGATGCCGACTCGTTTCAAGGTCTGGGACTCGTCCCGAAATGCACTTTTACTTACGTAAAAGTGTTTTGACTTTTACCGTCACGGCGTTCATTAAACGTTCACTTGTTTATTTTTTAGTATTTACAGTTAATTGAAATTTAAACAAGTTTTACGCCCGAATAAAATCATCTCTATTTAATATGCGGCGGTAAAGGTTGTGCGTAATGAACAGGTGTAATAAACGCCATTATTTAATATTAGAAATTTCGATTTGAATTATTAATTCGATGGCATTCGCACTTTTACTAAAACCGATAAGACGCGCTCGGTGTGTGGTGCGCACGCTGTGCTCGTGAAAAGTTTAGAAAGTTCATCGCGTACCAGAGGGATCAATGCTTGCGCGTAAACAACATAAAAATTCCACATCATTCACGTGGAACAACAACTTAAATTTTAAATCAATTAAAAATCACATTAATATTAAAGGCAAGGCGGTAAAATCTGTTCTGCCTCTATAAATATACATAATGATACGTATTTGGATTGTACTGTTATATGAAAATGAATTTAGAATGCAAAATTGCTATTTTTTATTATATTTTATTGCACTGTGTGCATGCGACCCGCGTAAAATAGTGGGGGAAGCTGATTGGGTTGGTCCCTTTCTTTCAAATGTGCTCCTTTCAATAAATAAATAAATGCAGTCTAAATTCTTTAATGTTTCAGTAAATGCCCAGCAAGAAAAAGCCCAAAGCAGTAGTAAAAAGGACGATAAGAAAGATGTAACCTTCGAATGTCCGCAGGGCATGGGCAACGGTAATTTTGCCGACCCTGCTACCTGCCGCCGGTTTTACCAATGCGTCGATGGATATCCGTACCTGAATCGGTGTCCTTCCGGTTTGTACTTCGATGACATCCAGAAATATTGCACGTTTAAGGATGAAGCCCGATGTGGGCCACTGGCAGCAAGTACGATTTACGATTTATTAGCACTTCGTTAATTAAAATGATATTAATAACGCGTTTTTTTAGCACCTGCTCCAAGTACGGAATCCCCGGAAAACTTAGCCAAGAAATGTGACTTATCAGAGTGCGTGCTTCCGTATTGTTATTGTTCTAAGGATGGTACTACTATTCCAGGTGGTTTAAGTCCAGAGGATGTAAGTTTCTACCTGTTTCTTTTTGGAAATTTAATTTATGTTTTTAATATGAATTGTCAGACACCACAAATGATCCTTCTAACTTTTGACGGAGCAGTTAACCTGAACAACTACGAACATTACAAGAAGGTATTTGATAAGAAGCGCAAGAATCCCAATGGATGCGACATTAAGGGAACGTTCTTCATCTCGCATGAATACAGCAATTATCAAATGATTCAACAGCTTGCGAGCGAGTCCCACGAAATCGCAACTGAAACAATTTCGTAGGTTTTTAAAATCAGATTTTTATCAGTAAAATTTAATCTTTTCTCTTGTAGACTTCAAACAGGTCTCCAAGACAAAGGCTACGAAGAGTGGGTCGGTGAGATGATTGGAATGCGCGAGATCCTGCGTCACTTCTCGAATATCTCCAAGAGCGAAGTTGTGGGTATGCGCGCACCCTTCCTGAAACCCGGCAGGAACACGCAATACAAAGTCCTGGAAGACTTTGGATTTATTTATGACAGCTCTATTGGTGCTCCGCCTTCGACACAACCAATCTGGCCATACACACTCGACTACAAAATTCCACACGAGTGTAAAGCAGGCACGTGCCCAACAAAATCCTTCCCTGGTGTCTGGGAGGTTCCACTGAACGCGCATTACGTAGAAGATTATGAAGGAGGACACTGTCCTTATCTGGATCAGTGTGTGTTGCACAATCATGATGCTCAGGAGGTCTTTGAGTGGCTTCAGGAGGATTTCAGTCGCTATTATGAGCAGAACAAGGCACCTTACATGATGCCATTCCACACAAACTGGTTCTCTATCAAAGAGTTAGAACAAGGGTTACATAAGTTCTTAGACTGGACGACAACTTTGTAAGTTATCAATGTTGTTTCACAAAATGTGCGCAATATTAAATTATTCTTTGTTTTCCTGTAGGCCTGATGTGTGGTTCGTCACAGTAACACAAGCATTAACCTGGATGACCGATCCAAAGTCCTTGACGCAGTTAAACAACTACGAGGCATGGAATTGCCAGAAACGCAAAGAAAACATTCCGTCAGGCGGCTGCAACAACTCTAATAAATGTGCGCTCAATTATAAGAACCCCAACTTGAATTTTACAGACACACGATATCTGGAAACTTGTACCGATTGTCCGAATCAATATCCGTGGCTGGGCGATGCAGGCGGCACAGGCATCTCCAACAAAGACAACTACGTTCCTGACAACGTCCGGAGGAAGTAACGCGGTTGCGTGCGCGGTCGAGTAACGCTGACTGATCGATTGCATTGTACTCATTTAAATTTTATTTAAACAATTTGTGCTCAATTATTAAATCTGCCTTGATGTTTGTTGATTTTTATTTTTTACTTTTGAGTAGAAGTAAGTTATAACGCAAATAGGAATTGTAATAAAGTTTACATTGTTAGATTTAACTATAATTTATTTTCAATTTGCTACAAGCTAGGAGTAGTGCTCAAGTGCTCACCTTTTAGAATTGTGTTTATTTATCTAACTGGATGCCAAGGCAGAAGAAGTTCAGAGTATTTTTACTCACTAAAGAAAAACATTTAAATTGGCTGTAAATTATACTGTAAAATGATTTCATACCTCTTGCAGGAAAATCTTCTGGATGTAATTGAATGTAATGCCTTAAAACAGCATCTTTTTCAGCAAAATATTCCTTTCTTTTCTCATCAAAGTATTGCCCAACTATAGCACCGCCAGCAACAAATGCCGCTTGAATGTGCAAACCTGGAAAATAAAATACATAAAACTTTATGTAAACATCGCACTAAATTATATAATTGTTAGGTTAGAAACTTACTGCTGAAGACTGGTTTATGTAGCGTGTAATTGACCATCATGGAGCATCCCCAGATGAGACCCGCGGTCATCGCACCACCCCAGTATTTGTTAATGAAGGGCTCCGGACGCGAAAGGTCCGGAGTTAAGAGCTCCAAAGGATCTTTCGGAATCGTAGGTCCTGTCGCCATTCTGATCGGATACCTGACACTTGATCAGGCTTTCGATTGTTTTGCTTGTTCTGTAAGTTGGGTTGCCCATGGTCACAACTTAATACATAGTACGTTAATAAATAAATTAAATAATCAAATTGTTTTTGTAAATAATATAACATGACTTTTTTAAATTAAATTTAATTTGATTCTGATACATTTACAGTGTAAAACATAAAATGACGGGTTAAAATTTGATTGTTTTTAATTGCTCTCTAGCAGAGATTCAAAAAACGCTTCGTTGGAGTATTGGACCGTAGGGTAGCGCTAATGTCGTTAATTTTCCTGCAATTCCTGCATGGGCACAAGTCCGTCAGTTCGCGATATGGGTTTCCTTGGGACGTGTGTGTACTTTACACCATCACCAGAAGTTTTGTGATTGTTTGAAAAGTTGTGCCATAAAATGGAAAAGTCCGTAATCAACGTACTGCAAGAACACTGTATAACACGATTCAAGAAATACCCGGAATACCTAACACGTGACACCTCTAAGGGCAACTCTCCACTCTTCACCGTCGAGTGCGTTATCGAAAACGTAAGATCAGCGGGTATTGCATCATCGAAAATTGCAGCAAAAACTGACGCAGCCGAACAAATGTTAAGAAAGCTGGGCATTTCTAAGTCAAACAACATGACTGCATCAAACTACAGTTCAACCACTTATACATCACCACCCAGAACAAATGAAAATTATGTGGGAACTTTGAATGAATACTGCTCGAAGAATAATTATGTCTATCCAAATTATAGTGAGGGGATGGATGGTTCAACATTTCGCACAATATGCCGGCATCAATCACTAGTAACCGAGGGCAGGGGCAGCAATAAGAAAATTGCAAAACAAGAGAGTGCCAGAGCAATGATAGAACTGTAAGTATATTTTTTCATATTTTTGAATGAGCATTACTTTGTACCAGAAAATATCTTATTGTGTTTAAAAATACATTTTCTGCATCAGACAAAATAATTGATAAATATATTTATTTGAGAATAATGAGATTGAATCATCACAAATTCTAATATCTAATCTTTGAATCCTAGATGTCATGACAAAACCAAAACATCCAGTACTAACAGTGGCAATAAAGTTATTTGCAATAATTTGAGCGCATTATCACTTCAAGATTTTTGCAATCCTAAATGTCAGCCATCTCAACCAATTATTACATCCACGCCTAATAAACAATCATCTATTAAGCCGTTTGCACTATCCAATCAAACGGATTCAGTGAGTGCATTAAATCTGTACTGCGACAAATACAAATACAAAAAGCCTGAATATTTTGATATTGGCAAAGAAGGAAATGTATACACTACTAAATGTGTGTATCAGAGTTTTATGACAAGGGGAACAGGATTGACCACAAAGTTTGCCAAGCAGGATAGTGCAAGGCAAATGCTTGAAATGTACGTCATTTCGTTTAATAAATTACAATACGATTGGCGAAAAGTATATTTTTATTATTTTTTCTTTCAGAATTGGTGTTAGGAAGCCAGATGACAAGCCAACAGTTCAAGAAGTGAATTTAATTGATATGAATGATAATATTAATCATCCAATTCAGCCTGCAAAACCGCAACTTTTGGACAAAGAGGTTATTGAGATATATAATAAGACGACGCCTATAAAACATCTTCAGAAAACGGAGACCAACGACATAGAAGAGTTGATGTCGTTCTTTGCTGCAAAAAATGAAGAGCCAAATTGCGAAAATCCACAAACGCATGCGCATTTGCGGCAAATATTGGTCGACAATAAAGTAAAGTATGAGATTGAGGTGTTGCAAAATCATGATCCTTGTATTATGATTCTTAAAGGTAAGAGACTGATGAATGATGGGAAAATACTTGATAGAAACTTAATGGACATGGGTGATAGAAGGCAGGAAATTATTGGCAATCTTTTAACCAAAGCTATTGCATCCTTTGAATGCAAACAATTATAAAGTTATATTTGTTTAAGAATGCATAATCCATTATTTATAGTTTAACTGAGAGTTTCCCACGATGGCCTCGAGGCGAAATGTGATAATGACACAATATATTAATTTCCATTTATTAAAGTGCTTGTTGTGCTGCAATTTTATTTTTGCACAACACGCACAAAAATGGAAGTCAATAAAATATCATTTAAACTATAAATAATTTTAAGTATATTTTCACTATCTATGTTTGTTTTATCGTAATTTTGATACTTTTATTACTTGTTATTAAATTATAATTACATGTCAAATCCTAGCAAGGAAGGTTCAATAGAAAAAGACTGCATGAAGTTTTCCTGATCTTCCTTGTAGCGCGCCTTGAGTAAATACTCTCTTGCTAGATCGTTGTGCGCATAGTTATATCTGGCGGCTGCGCTTTGATGAATTACCAGCTGCTGCATACACTCTTTGAGTCGTTCCTGGCGGTTGTCCTCGTAGTAGTATAGTTCTTTGTAACGATGTGCAACAGTTTCATAATCAGAGTTATGGTGAGTTTTAAACGACTCTTTCGATTCTTTGGAACTTGTTTTGTTATCGTCAGCATGCCATACTTTTAACGAACTTAAGATTTTCTTAAACAATGACTGTGTTTGTTCGATTTTAGTATGGTGTTGATGTTTACATTTTACTGATACTTTTAAACCTAAAAACATAGCATTGATAAAATTGTTTTGTTTTTAAATATTACAATTGTTACCTAAAGTGTTAGAATCCATGGAAGTTGTAGTTGTATTTAACGTAGACGACAAGTTTGAGAATTGCCGGTAGTTGTTTCCTTCGGATGGGACAATATCCAATAGTTTGGCTATGATATCACCAATAAATGGCATATAAATGGGTGATTTTGTTGCATGATGGAATGAGTTTTGAAATGTTGGAAGTCTAGTGTCTCGATACAGCCGGCACAAGTTCTCAAACACTCTAGAAAACATTAATATTGATGATGTAATTTGATACTTAACGGACAATATAGTTTAATTAATTCTATGTTTATTTACTCGTAGCGTGATGAGTGTCGTTTCCTCACATAATGCCATGTAGCATGCAGACGATAAATCGGCGGTGATTGCAATCCGCTTAAAATACTCCGACACGATTGATAATTATTAATACTATTACATTTTTCAGCCACATTGATGAATCGCGTGATTAATCTTGCACGTATCTACAAAACAACACATTAAACTTTAAAAACGAAGATTTTGCCAATAAAACCTTTTCGGTGTCATCTTTTAAAATCTCCGTGCAAACTAACGAGCTAATCCTGTGTGAGAAGGCGAGAAGAGCCCTAATATTAGACGCATTCTTTGAAGATTGCTGCCATAATAAAATAGATAATTCCTCAGGGATTATCTTAATGAACAAATCTCTATCAATGAGAGTCAATTGAAGTGCAAGGATGTTCGAATCGAAGTCCCACGCAGACAACGAGATTTCCATTCGCAATACTCGTTTAAGGTACTGAACGGACGTTTCTGTGTGTAGATCACTACTTGAAGAAGGGTAAGAAATCCTTTTTGGAATTATTTTGTTCATAATCGACTCCTTTCTTGCTCTTTTCACTTTCTGGTAATAACTTGGTGATTCATATTCAGAGTCGTACAGTGTCGAAAAACTATCGGATAGTTTCTGTTTCTTCCTAAAATTGCCCCCGTGTGTCTTGGCAGTGTTTTTAATTTGATGGTACTCGTGAATTTTACACAAATGCGCCTGTAATTCTTGATACGCATCGCGGGCGCTCAAGGGTCGGTACCAATAATCTGTTGTCCAGAAAAAGATCACCGGCGATTTATGACAGTTCCGGATGGTATTAGTATTATTAAGATCATCGTATGAAATCGAAGCGATTAATTGTCTGCGTGAGATAGATAATCTCAGCTCTGATTCAATTGGTTGTCGATTAATAGATACCATGGAAACGGCTCGCTTCATCTGTAACGTGAAGCGCTCACCCTGATTCACGCACCATGGCCCCAGCCCGCGGTAGAAATGCGGTTGAGGAGCTAATGCATATCTTCGTCGATGTTTTCCACGCAGATTTATGCTGGTTTTACTATTTTGCATCTCCCATAAACGAACAGCACTATTAGCAACTTCAATGAAGTTGTATGGTTGATTGTGGATCAACGCGTGAAGACAATGCACATCAAGCGAGGACGCCGGATCCAGCTGAAGATTACAAGTTGATAAAGAATTTGCAGGTAAGTCCAGAATTGCATGCTGATTTTTTCCGCGTTCGGCTGGTAAGAAAAGGCCTGTATTACAATTTTCTTTAACGCCTGCCGAGAATCGGTTGATTGCCGTTTGTGGTTGATTTAATTCGCGTGATAATCCAGTGGAGAATGTTTTCTCGGTAGCAATTGTTTGCGTTTCTTCGTATTTACGTCTTAAGAAATCTTCCTCTGATGGTGGTAACTGAATTGGTTTGTATTTCATAGGAGAGTCATGCAAATCTTGTCCTAGATAAAGGTGTTTATCAGGCCATTTTGGTGGATCATTCTATAAATCATTCGTATGCTAGATGTTATTAAAAAACTGCGTTTGGTAAATACCAACATTAGATATCACCCTTGCAAAGTCTCCACCAGCGTATTGACACCAAACTTGCGAAGCACCCCCATTAGTATATCGTTTATGAGACACTAAATATAAAGTACTGTTACTTGTCGAAGTTGCCACTGATGTTTCAGAATGCGAAAAGTTGGCGTCTTCTGGACTTAGAAATTTAATTTTTCACACCATAAATTCCAAAACATCTACAAGTTACGGATATAAATTTAACACATAAATTTAAGTTTCTACTTCTTACGTTTCTCTTTTCAAATCCACCCAACTCGAAATACATCACTTTGTTATTACAAAATCTAGCTTTTAATGATTGCCGCTTTCTTCTGTGAAATACACTCAAATTTACACAGTCTATGGGATAAACTGCAACTAATTCAAGTGTTTCGATCTCTGGATCCAGTCCGGGTACAAATAAAATTGAGGAATGATTTGCCAAAGGTAGAATATCCGTAGCCAATACTAATTTTGATGGAGTTAAACCTATTGGATTACAGTTATTTACAACTTTTAGTTAGGTTTATTTGTGGAGATTGTTACCTAGATGAACTTGTCTTAAGCCGTTTCCTTCCCTGTTTGTTTCCGCGAACGGACTTTCAACCAGAACCATATCTTCGAAGTCACAATATTCGGAAAACAGTAGTTTCTGAATGCGATTTGTCGACATGGTTTAATCGTAACGCTAATTTGAGCCAACCAGAAAATGACATTATTGTAACAGAAATGGTCGAAATTGTTCCGGATTAATAAAACGAATTGATTACGATTATGTTTCAAATGTGGTATATTTTGGCAGATATTTGACATGATAAAGTTCAAAAATCAGCGAATGGTTGCCATAGAAGCACAGTTTTAGAGTAATTTTTCTTGGCTTTTATTATATAGTATTATATTAGTATTTATTAAATATAAAAATACAAAAATATTTGGTTTGTAGAACAATTTAAAACAATTTATAAGTTTCAATTGACTGCGACTTCCCCGGGCCTAATTGTGTTCTAGCAGTTCTGATACAGGTCTCATTAATGCTTTTTTCTCTTGGTATACATTTCTCAACACTACAGTGTCCAACAGCCTTATTAAATTCTATAAATAAGTTAGCATCACCACCATTAGGCCCAACAAAAAACGGACATTCCAGATGATGATTTACATAATCGTCAATGCAACACCAAACAAACTCAGTGTGCAGAGTATAGAATTTTGCAAGATTTACATGTTTTATCTCTAAAAACTTCGCAAATATGCCTGTTATAAGTGTATCATCAATCCAAAAATACTGATGCATTTTAGATGCAAGTATTAAAAGTTTTGCAGTTGTTGGGTTGGTGATATAAAACCAACCACTTAAGAATGTTGGATATGTATCCTCAGGGTATTCTTCATGGGTGACAAACCATTTATTTGCTGGATCTCTTTTTGGCACCATATTTTCAAGAGCATATCCTGCCAAAAGTGTAAAATTTTTCTTATTCTCCAGCAGAACTCCTATATTTAAATCTTTAATAATTCGCCTTAGGTCTATAACAATATCATCATCCATTTTAATAACGTAATTTGCATTGTAACAATGATCAGTTGCCCATTTTAAGCCCATGATGTGTTTGTATGTGAGGTTCCTGTATGCTTCTACAAAATTTCCTTGTAAAATGTCTTGAAAACGAATGGATTCATTCTCGATTGAAGCTTGAGATGTGCTTTTATCTGAAGTAACAGTTCCTAATAGAAACACTCTTTTTACACTTAGCGCATGTAGGTTTGTGGTGTTAAATGTTCTTCTCATTGCACTTCTTGCTTCAACATTATGGAAATGGCTGGTAACCAGTATTATCAATTTAGTTTTTATATCACATGGTGCAGGGGATAATTTATATTTTAAATTAAGACCAAGTATTGCAGAGTTATTGTTGTGTACATTATGTTTCTGATTCAAATGTTGAATAATGTCAGATGTGTTTAAAACCTTAAATTGTGAAGAGTGTAGAGTTGTTTGTGTTCTAAAAATTACGTAAAGTATAGCAATAGTGGTAAATGTTATTAAGAAATAGATTGTTTTCGCATTTTTCGTCAAAAACATTATCAAAACTTTGAGAAAAGACAGCTTATGAAATTATATAGTGTTCTTAAGCCTTTATAGTTGTCAATGTCAAGGACGTTGTCCATTTTTTCATCGACACTAGCGCTACTTAAGAATGCGCTTCCTACTTATCCGGTAGAGGGCGTTGCTCTCTGGTAGTTCGCGAAATTGTATGTACATAATCGTCACTACGGAGTCTGAAGATCGTAAAGGTGCTTGCGTGTGCTCTTGGTCATAAATTTAGCCATTATTAAAATTTGCGGTATACTAATATAATAATAGACGTTCATGTGCACATCACTAGAAACAACAACGAACGCGGGGAAAAGGAATTCTGTTTAGGTAAGCGATGTGTGAACGTTGAAGAGCAGTTACACTCGAATTGTTTTGTTTTTCTTTTTTGCGCTTATCGGTGTTTGGGTCTATTTTTTTATTGGAAGCGTGTTGCTACTGCAAACTGTGTTCGTACACTATTTCAATTACTGGATGTTTCAATCAGTTCGGTTAATTTGCCGGTCATTTTTGAGTATTTAAAATACTGTTAATTGGTTTATCTTTGATCCATCTTTCTCAAGGTGCTGACGGCTTCTGTAATCAATTGAAACGTAAAAATTGCAATTGAAAAAATAACACGAATATACGACTATTCCTCAACATGCAAATGCTTACCTAATATACGTTTTCTTTTCTTTTCGTTACACTGGTAAGTTTGCAATTAAATTATTCGTTTTAATAATATATGCAATTGTATTGGTCAATGCATTTAACGTTTTCTTTATCGGTGTTTGAGTAAACAACTTTTTTTGATCGCGTTCAACCCTCACACTTGCTTGTGCCGTTGCATTTATTTGAGTCGCTCCGCTCGTTCGACGAGTATGAGTTTAATACGTGAATTATGTGAACTCCCGATGGAAATCGGGTATTATCTCCGGAACCCTTTGAAATATTTGTGGTTTTTCTTTTTGATTTAATTGAGCGGAAATTATTATTGACGATGCCATTGCAGGCCCCTGAAATTACGCGCGGACTGTTTTAAAATTGCGTTTAAAATTTCGTATTTTTTGTGAAATTTTCATGGCTTGTGGTGGAAATTGGGTTTTATCTTAATTCGAATTCAATCAGCCGACTGTAATTTTGATATACTTTGATATAATTTATTTGTGTCGATTTATTATTGCTACTATCTGTGTCATAAGCTAATAATTAAACTACATTGCAATACATTATTTATTATATTTTATTTTCATACATCGCAGTCTTGTCGCTGGTAGATTTCGCGTGTGGCGTTGATAGTGACCGGTTTGTTATTGTTATTGTTACTGGTTAGTATCACCTCTGCGCAACCTTGCCCAATGTCGTCGCTGCATGCAATTCAGTCTTGTTGCCGACGTGTTCACGACGGTATCTCGCTGCGCGCCTCATGTCTCGTGAATTTAGTTTCTGTTCGGTGCATCGCGTTAAATGTCGTGTTTGTTTTTGTCGCTATCATTATTAGTGCGTAGTGTGATCAACGTGGACTTGGTAGCAGTAGAATGATGTTTTTCGTCTTATCGTCCGTAAACGCTTCTCGCGACGGACCACGTTTTGACCGTTTCGACTATCGTTCGCGTTCAATAATAATAGTATGTGACGTGATGTTTTGTAGTAATGATTTTTGCCGGGTATAATGTTACACAAATATTTTGGATTAACAATGGGCTGAGAGGTAGGTGATTCAATTTGAATAAACTTGGAAATCTGTAGCAACTGTTATTAACACCGTCAAATTCTGAGCATGATGTGAAATGTCTCCTTTTCCTTTCAATATAAATATCCGGACGAAATTAATTCAATTATCGCAGTTGCACATCTATCATATATTCATTTAAATGAGTTACGAACAAATAAACCGTCGTGTTGCACATAATATCCTGATCTTATGCATAAGTGTAAAGATATTAGATTCTAACACCGTAGCTAGTGTTTTTACATCATTTACAACTTGAGTTACCGCTCACACCGACGAGTACTGCACTGGCACACACTCACGTACAAACTGTTTACATTTTTAATTTGTATTTTTGCGACGGGTTTTTATTTATTAATTTGTAATAATTAAATATTTTATCCGTTTTATTATCATAATTTGTTTAGAAAATTACGTTTACTTGCAAAATTAATCGCTAAATTACTGCACGTTCGCATAATGATACGATTCTTAATATTTTAATTTTTTGATTGGGGCGCATTTGGGTAGTAATCAACGGTCATTAGTTAGACAAGTAATTCTGGTTCTTTGATAACAATTTAACGCGGGCAAAATGTTCATCATTTAGTGGTTGATCTACACGTGCCGTCGGAAGATTTGCTGCTAACTTTTGTGATTGCATATAATTAAATTTCAAACTTCAATTTCAACTGCTGAGTTTACAAATAAACATAAAAATTTTATTAATGTTGCTTTAGAATATAGTTGAATTTTCATGGCTTTGATGTTATTTTGGTAGATTATTAAAACTTCTACGCGTTACTTTCGACAACCGGCTAAAATTGTGATTTTGTGAACGCGGTGTTATAATAAGTTCAGAATAATTTTCTCAGATGCGGAATTTAATTCTGTATCACCCTGTATTTGAATTTATTGCGAGAAAATTCCGTAACGCGAGTTATATTGAAAGTTGTGTGAATGCGCCGTAGTGCTCGTTGCGCTAGGAATTGTAGTTTTTTAGTATAGCATGCGAACGCGGTGTTATAATAAGTTCAGAATAATTTTCCCAAATGCGGAATTTATTTCAGTATCACCCTGTATTTGAATTTATTGCGAGAAAATTCCGTAACGCGAGTTATATTGAAAGTTGTGTGTATGCGCCATAGTGCTTGTTGCGCTATTAATTGTAGTTTTTTTTAGTATAGCATGCGAATGCGGTGTTATAATAAGTTCAAAATAATTTTCCCAGATGCGGAATTTAATTCTGTATCACCCTGTATTTGAAGTTATTGCTAGAAAATTCCGTAACGCGAGTTATATTGAAAATTGTGTGTATGCGCCGTAGTACTCGTCGCGCTAGAAATTGCAGTTTTTTTTTAGTATAGCATGCGAGCGCGATGTCATAATAAGTTCAGAATAATTTTCCCAGATGCGGAATTTAATTCTGTATCACCCTGCATTTGAATTTTTTGAGAGAAAATTCCGTAACGCTAGGTATATTGAAAGTTGTGTGTATGCGCCGTAGTACTCGTTGCGCTAAGAATTGTAGTTTTTTTAGTATAGCATGTGAACGCGGTGTTATAATAAGTTCAGAATAATTTTCCCAGATGCTGAATTTAATTATGTATCACCCTGTATTTGAATTTATTGCGACAAAATTTCGTAATACGAGTTATAGTGAAAGTTGTGTGTATGCGCCGTAATACTCGTTGCGCTAGGAATTGTAGTTTTTTTAGTATAGCACGCGCACGCAGTTTCACAGTGAGTTATGAATAATTTTCCCAGATGCGGAATTTAATAATTCTGTATCTTCCTGTATTGAAATTTACTGCATGACAGGTTGAGTCTCATTCGGTTTACCGTAGCAGGGTGTCGATAGAAGTAATTCGTGTTCTGGGCACCGTACGAGGGTAGAGGTAGAAGTGACTCGTGTTCAGGGCACCGTACAAGGGCAGCGGTAGAAGTGACTCGTGTTCAGGGCACCGTACGAGTTTAGCGGTAGAAGTGACTCGTGTCTTGGCACCGTATGAGGGCAACGGTTGAAGTGACTCGTATTCAGGGCACCGTACAAGGGCAGCAGTATAAGTGACTCGGGTTCAGGGCACCATACGTGGATGAATGTATAGCTGAATCCCATTTGCCCATTTTTTCTTATGAATTAAAATTTCATCTCTTTAAATTTCTAATTTAACTAGCGTATTTTATAGAGAATAGTCCATAGGTTAAGATTTTGCTATTCGAAAATCGTGGAAATAAATTATCAATTGAAATAAAACACAATAGTCGCGGTGAGTATACACACCGCGAATGATTGCATTTTGTATCAGGTTGCAATCATTCTTGCGGCAAATAAAGCCGTTTCGATTATGTGCGTATATGAATATATAATAGTTTAAGGATTTATAGCTGGAAGGAATTTAAATATATGATTTGAATTTACTGATTTGGTTTGCTCCGTTTGACAAACTTACAACCAGGAAAATATAACTATATATATATATTGCGTGCGATTTTAATTGAAAGGGCGACTAAATAAATTCAAACTTTATTTTATCCGAATTAAGATTTAATTGTTTCGAAGCAATTTGCACACTTAAGAAAAGGTAAACACACATTTATATTTTATTGACGAACATACACGTCCAATTTTTGTATGTGGTAGTGTCTAAACAGCCTTGCGATCTCACGTCGCACTGGAATTCGACCGGTTTGTTCTTATCTCTTATTGTCAGGTGATTCGCGTACGATATTCGTGTATAGTTTTGTACTATATACGCGACGGTGTGATGGCGTCGCGTGTATCGTTCGCTCACGCTGCAGAAATAAAATTAGTTTCGCCGTATCCGACGGATAGTTCGCACGCGGTCGTCGCGATTCTCCTTTCTTCGGATTTAATTCGGAAACTCGTATTACTTTCGGTGTTCTTAGTGATTATTGCTGACTATTGTGTCTCGCTAATGATTTATCGCTTTAATAGTGTTAAGTAACCTTTACAAAAATGTTTGTGTTAAGTGAGCCCTAGTTGTTGTACATACTTCATACTTCAGCAATATTTCGCACATTTTTAGTGTTTTGCGATGGAAATTGCAATTAAATAGCTTAACATAGAGAATTTGTTGTAGATTGCCGTTCCTCTCTATCTCTTTTAGTATCAGTATTCGTTTCGAGTTTATACACACTTGTTTTCGTGTCGCATTTATATCATATTTTACACTTCGCGCATAAGTTTTATTGCATCTTTAAACTCTGCATTATTTTATCTCTGTTGTTCTCTTTTCTGTTTTAGGGCTAGTTACGAGCTAACTTTGAAACGTCGCTTCGTCGGTCCTTTATTACCCAGATTTTTATTATCTTCAACAATAGTCCCGAGTGTTGCAA